TTATCGTATTATACGGTCCGTATAATACGGTCATTTTTTACGGCCAAATATCCAAAAATACGCCGTATTTTTGATAGACTTTAAAAAATCGTAGTTTTTCTCCTAGCAATCACTGAATTTCTTAAAACCGTATTTTACGGTCGTTTAATACGATTCCGTATTATACGGTAGAATTTCAATAATTCGGTCGTAATTTTGAACCTTGCTTGAAACAGGCAAGGGCGAATCAAAGGGACGAGTGCGAGGGCAAGTTAGCAGAAAACCAGTGCAGTGGCAAAGAGAGGTACGAGGCTTACCTTGAGAGGCCAAGCCCACCCCAATACTCTCCCTTGCTGCAGTGGGATTGCCATGCTGCAGTGCTGCCTCCCTCCCGTCCCCGCGAGTCCCTGCACGGCCACAGGGGAGGGGCGTGGGGAAGCGTCGGTGTTGACCCCAACGCCCCTCCCCTCCACCTGCAATGCGCACACACGGCAGTGGTCAGTATGCATGGCATGGGCACAACACAAGCCAGAGACCGGAAACTGCCAAATCTGGAAGAGCAAGGGAGGGCCACTGGTTGAGGCAAGGCCACACGCCACAGACGCCAAGGGAACCTGCACCTGAAGGGGGGACCTGCACCTGAGAGGGTTACCTGCACCTGAGGAGATACCTGAGGAGAGGGGGTCTGAGGCATGTAAACCGAGCTCAACCAGTGGGATTGTTTCAGAGGGAAGGGCGAAAGCACAACCGGCAAACGAACTGGCAGCAAAGAAGCAACAAGCCATGATGAGGCGAGCAAGGGTGAGGGCATGGAGGAGGGTGACTTAGCTGATAGCGTGAGGGCGAGGTCAAGGCAGCTGCAGCACCACCAGCTGCCTCCCTCCGCAGCAGCCCTCCTCCAGGTGCCTCCTCCCTGCACGGCCACAAGCTGCAGACCCAAGGGCACCTGAAAAAGAACCTGAGGGGTGTACCTGCACCTGAGAGGGTTACCTGAAGAGTGGGGGTCTGTAGCATGTGAACCGCGCTCAACCAATGGCATTGCTTCAAAGGGAAGGGCGAAAACAGAACTGGCAAATGAAATGGCAGCAACAAAACAACAAGCCATGATGTGGCCGGCAAGGGTGAGGGCATGGAAGTGGGTGACTTAGCTGATAGCGTGAGGGCGAGGTCAAGGCAGCTGCAGCACCACCAGCTGCCTCCCTCCGCAGCAGCCCTCCTCCAGGTGCCTCCTCCCTGCACGGCCACAGGGGAGGGGCGTGAGGGAGCGTCGGTGTAGACCCCACACCCCTCCCCGCCACCTGCAATGAGCACACACAGGGCTAGTCAGAGCGCGGCGGTGGGAGCAAGTTAAACGGGAGACTGTGACTTGAATCCAGTGCAAGGGAAGGGAGGAGGAGCCACTGGTGGAGGCACGGCCACAAGCTTCAGACCCAAGGGCACCTGAAAAAAAACCTGAGGGGTGTACCTGCACCTGAAGGGGTTACCTGCACCAGAGAGGGTTACCTGAAGCAGGGGGGTCTGTAGCATGTGAGCAGTACTCAACCAGTGGCATTGTTTCGAGAAGACGGTGCAACAGCAGATGAAACCAAGGAAACGATATGGCAGGCAAGGGCGCGGGCATGGGGGAACGGGTACTTAGCTGATTGTGTGGCGCAGGCGGAGGGGGTGCTTCATTGGGGAGTGGGCAGGGCGAGCGGGGCTTGAAGGGACGGTCCTGCGAGGCAGAAAACAAGCACAGAGAGATAGGGAGATAGTAAGAGGCAGGTCGGAGGGAGTGACTCTTTCAAACGACAAGATTCTGGCAGCAGTGCGAGTGCAAAATGACGGTGCATGTGACGCCAACCACAACCCCACAAGAGCCGCTACCAACCTGCACCTGCACCTGCACCTGAACCTGAACCTGAGGGGGAGTGGGCTCAAGTGGAGTGTGGTGGCAGGGGCGATACTGCAACCTCGACCGTTGATGAGGCCGGCGCTGCTGCCCCGCTGCCCATGCTCCTGCTGCCCGCCTTGGCAGCCCCCTCGCCTGCTGCTCGCCTGCTGCCCTCCCCTTGGCTTGTGAAGGCCTGGCAGGGAAGGAATGGGAGGCAGGGAGGGGAGGGAGAGCAGGGCGGAAAGGAAAGGCAGCCGAAAGTAAGAGGGGTTGCAATGGAGAAAAGTGTCAAACACACGTGCAACAGCAGAAACGACTGTGCATGTGACGCCAATCACAACCCCACAAGAGCCGCTACCAACCTGAACCTGTACCTGAACCTGCACCTGAACCTGAACCTGAGAGGGAGTGGGCTCATGTGGAGTGTGGTGGCAGGGGCAATACTGCAACCTCGACCGTTGATGAGGCCGGCGCTGCTGCCCCGCTGCCCGCGCTCCTGCTGCCCGCCCTGGTGCTCCCCTCGCCTGCTGCTCGCCTGCTGCCGTTTCCATGGCTTGCGCTTGCCTGGTAGGGAAGGGATGGGAGGGCGGGGAGGGCAGGGAGCGGAGGGCCGTGAGGAACGAGGTGAAGGCAGCGGGGGAGGTGGGAGCGAGAGTGAGATGGGGAATGGACAGTACAGCGTGCGAGACGGCAGGAACAAAAGGCAAGGCAAGGGAGGGGCCACTGGAGGAGGCACATCCGCAAGCCACAGACCCCCAGGGGAACCTGAGGGGGCTGTAAGGCTTTAGGGGGGCTGAACCTGTACCTGATGGGTTTACCTGCAGTGGGGGGTGGGGGTCTGTTGCTTGTGAGGCGGGCCCCAACCAGTGGCGAGTATTTCAGGGAGGAACGGTGAGCAGCAACGGTGGACAGCAACGGTGGGCAACAAGTGAGGGAGAGTGGAGGGAGGAGAAGGCACTTAGCTGGCGGTTGAAGAAGAGCCGATGCTGCTGCAGCCGCAGCTGCTGCTCACGGAGGCACAACCGTGCGACCATTTTGCCGTGAAACGAATAGCGGACGACGATTTCGCCGTGCGACGACGCGCAGACACCGATTTCGCCGTGCGACGACGCGGACACGAACGATTTCGCCGTGCGCCGACGCGCGGACCACGATTTCGCAGGGGTACGTCGCGCGGACGACGATCTCGCCATGCGACGACGCGTGAACGACGATTTCGCCGTGCGACTACGCGCGGACGACGATTTCGCCGTGCGACTACGCGCGGACGACGATCTCGCCATGCGATGACGCGCGGACGACGATCTCTCCGTGCGGCGACGCGCGACCGACGATTTCGCCGTATTACGACGCGCGGACGACGATTCCGCCGTGCGACGACACGCAAACGATTCCGATCATGCTGCTCCGACATCGTTGTCAGTCGTATCTGAACGCAGGCAGCGCAGCAATAACGAAGAGATGTTTTCGAAAGTGACACTAACGAGGCTCAGAACGAATGCATCGATTGCAACTCAGAGGCAGGCAGAGAGAAAGTGTGACGAAAGAATCAAGTCGTAGGGATGAAAGAAGCGAAAGGATATTTTCCACTTCGAGCAAGTCGTACCTAAGCATTCGTAGAACAGTGTGCGGAAATCGCGGAAGCACGCGCGACGAGGCAACGACGGCCTGAGGATGAGAAATCGCGTCGCCACGACGGCACGTGTTCGGTAGCGCAGGCGCATCTGGCGTGGGCGAGACAGAATAGTGTAATCGGGAAATGAACATCTGAGAGGTTCGAGCGCGAAATGAGAAGCCTGATGATAGAATGAAACTTGTATCCACGAGAAACTGACCCTAGCAGAGAAGTATCGCCGAACTGGAAGACTAACCTTGTCGAAATAGCTATCTGGGTATCATTGCTTCATCGCAGAGCACGGAGAAGACGCAACCCCGCCAGAAACCGCTCCCGAGGAAAACGCGGTCAGCGAGCGAGTACTAGAGAGTCGACCTGGGAAGCTAATCGTTGCGAAGACGATAAAAAGTTGTAGCCAGCGACAACGAAGCTAGCGGCCATGGATAGTCCTGAGGAAGAAGAAAATGTCGTCGTAACTAAGTGGAGCGGTAAGACAAGACGGACGGAAGGGAATGAAGGCGACGAGGCTTGGAGCTGGAGGAACGAGGCGATGGAGTGGAAGGAATGAGCGGAGAGAATTGGGGAATGGTGAAGAGTTGGCGCACGGAACGAGCTGTGGATTTGCCAACAAAAGATGGCTAAGTTGCGCGGTTGAAATGGTTTCAAGAGCGGTTGAATTATGTTGTGTGTCTGGCTACTCCCAGTTTCCGCTGGGCCATCACAGGCACGGTCCAGCACAGCCCAGGGTTATCCCAACCAATCCCGAGGTTGGCCAAGCGGCGGAGGAGGAAGCACTGCCCACAAGATTCGCCCGCCAAATTCCGCGAGCGCGGAAGATTTTGAACAAACGGCCAAGTCACGAAATTGAGTGCGACGGGCGAAATAGCACTGGCGACGTGATAGTTGTTTCGCTTCTGCGCTGCAAGCACTCCCCTGCTCAAACGACAGACTTTTGCGAAACACGTGGGTGTCGCCAAGAACGTCGAGGCTAACGGGTCATGCAAGAACATCCGTCAAGTAGCGCGGGATTATGAACGCGCTCCCGCAAAAAGCCTGACACGAAGCAAAGAAGGCGCAGACTCAGGAGTTTTGCGGAGGGCGGGGCTGCTGCTCCAACGGGATGCCTGCGGACGGCGCAATTTGGGGATATTTTGTGGAACAAGCTCCGGCAGCATGACGTTTCTGATTCGCCTACGACATCATCCAACAAGCTCCGTGATTGTCCGTGATTGTTTTGTGATTCTACGGACGAAATGAACTAACGCAGAATGCATCAGATCACGCCTGGATCGATCTATAGATTCTTTTGAGTATTCTTCGGTATGACAGAATTATACACAATAAGCGAACCATAATATACGACTTCATGACATCTGCAACAATGAGAAACTTTCATTTATTTATCTAGCTGAAATCTGCACTTCTTGAATAGCTTCAATTAACTCTTAAGCAGCACAAGCTGAAAATTCCTGAGTGCTAAGCTTTATCACAGTATCGTTTTATGGCACTGGTAGTGGTGATTACTCACGCATCTTAGTCCCAGCACCAGAGTCCAGCAGTGAGGGCAAATCTTTCCACAGCAGCCGCCAAACCATCATGGTCGTTAGAGCTCGACACATGGTCTGCCACTGCCTTGACCGAAGGGCCAGCATTTGCCATTGCCACACCCAAACCAACCATCTGGAGCATCTCAATGTCATTTTCACCTGCCATTACAAAAAAAAATGTCAGCACCGAAAATAGCAGCAGCGATATCTGCACAAAAAGGGTGAAGAGGCTGCAATTAAGTTTTCGCAATCAACTCACCATCTCCTGCCGCCATGACCTGCTGCGGGTGCAGGCCCATAATGTCGAGCACAGTGGCAAGGCCTGTGGCCTTGGAAGCGCCAACTGGAAGCACTTCCAGCATGCCAGGCACTGATGTGATGAGCGACCCCCTGCCACCCAGCTCCGCGTCCAAACGAGGCCTTAGTGCTGCCAAGGTGTCGTCGTCAGCCATGAGAATGAGCTGGAGGGGTCATATGCAGGGATGGGGATGTTGCATGTAATGGTTAAACAACAATGGGTTATCACATATAGCATCCATTACATTGAGTCACCAAGCTTGAAATAATATACACAAAGGGCGAATTGGGAGAGAATGAAAGTGAATGGAGAAACACATGAGTGGTGAGGGAGACAGCTGTCAGTCTGTGCAACACACCTTGTGAATGGATGTGATGCCAATGAGGTCCTCAAGGGGGCCAACGGCTTCGGGAATTGGCTCGCCATAGGGAACGAGACGATCAGTGTGCTCGTCCCTTTCTTCGCACAGTCTGGGAAACAAATTGAAAACATGAAACTTGGAGTTTATTAAGCAGAATCCACCGATATGAAATAGATATTTTTTTAGCTGTGTGCTCTTTATTCGCTAACGTAACACCTCGTGCACCACTTAATTGCTGAAAATGCAGCCGTGCGGGTCACTGACACGAACGCTTACATTCTCTCGCCACAGTAGGCCGTGAGCGTGACGCCTTCGGCCTTGCCGAACCGAATAACCTGCCGAGCCACATCCTCCGCCATGGCTCGCTCGTACAACAGAGTTCCGTCCGCACTGTAAACCATCAAGCCCTGGAGCGAGGCAATGCGACGATGAAAATTGGTGAGACGGATTCCGCATAGCTATTGTGAAATATAAATCACAAGAGTGTCGAGAAAATCACCTGTAAAAATACTCCAGGAGTTTCAAGCTTCAGTCGCTCCTTGATTTCAGGAAACCACGGTCCTCTTGCTTTGCCAGTGGCCAGAACGACCTGCACCAAAAAAGCGCCTTTACTTAGATGACCGCCGCTGGAATATACAACCGGTGATTTGAAGCTCCAAAGAATCATATGAGCAGGTTTGGAAAAAGATAGAACTTGCAATAACAAATTGATGCTAACCTGGATGCCTTGCTCTTGCGCCATCAAAAGCGCTCTCTCGGTCCGTTCACTCAGGGCGTGGTTGCTGTTAAGCAGAGTCCCATCCACGTCAGTCGCAATCAGCGCGATCTGTCTCGACGGCAGCCCGCCGTCCTCATCTTGCTGAAACCGTTGTCGTCGGGTCAACCCGGCGTCCGAAACCTGCCTCACCGGGCTTTGCGGCTTCGGCTTGGCTGTCGTTTTCAGGATCTCCAGCTGGTATTGCTTCGTGCGCTTGCTGACTGTCCCTGGGACAACGGCGATGGCCCTAGTGCATGATTGCTGGGAACTGCGTGTTCTATGCGACTGCAGTGCAGAGCTGGAGACCTGAGAGCTCGACCATGCCTGTTGTCGCTGACTACAAGATGACAGATGCCTGCTCGGCGTTCTCGAGGTAATTGGTGAGGCTATGGCTGCCATGGCTGCTCGATGAACGTCAGCTGCGCGTTGATCTAAAGCTAATCAATAATAGCCGTGGCAACTGATGCTGCTAGCTAAGTCCAAAGAGATCGTAGAGCAGACAATAGATATCGAGGTTGGAGAGGAGAGATGAGGCAAGTTCAGGAAGATGTGTGGATCGAAATGGCGGAACAAAGATCGAGGTGAACTTTACCTGGCCCCTGGGAAACGGAGGGAGAAGCCCAGGGGGAATCAGCTGATCCATCCGCAGGTAAGGGAACGGCTGGGATGTGATCGATGGCAGAATCACGATGGAGATGGTCGGTGAAGCAAGTGCGATTCTATCCACCAATCAGACCACGAAGGGGTGGACTGGAGGGGCAGGCGAAAAGGTAACGCGATTTGAGTGGCTGGTGGTTGTACCAGAGTTCGTGGACAAAACGCGACTGTCGAGAAAGGTCGATGCGGATTGGGCCTTGGTGCGCTGAGTAGGCGCCGATTCCACGCGAATGGGTCTTTCGTCAACAAAAAGCTGCCACGTGACCGGCCTGGCATGTGTGTTCCTTCTTCCCCCCCTTCCTGACCCTGACAGGAACAGTGTCAGAAGCAGACAAACCACACAGAAGCGGCCACCAAATCCAACGGGCGCTGGGGGCTGCTTTCCGTTTCCGTAAAACCCTGTCCCTTGGAGAATAGCTACACGTTCAATAAATACATACTCGTATGTACTGGGGTTCAGTTTTATGCAATAACAGATACAGAAAAGGCTTGAAAATGTCTGACCCCAAGTCAAACGAAGGCTTTGCCCTCTCACTCTGGTACATTCATTCTTGTGAGAATAATCACTATTCGTTTGTGACAGCAGATTGGATTGGCCCAAAACTACAAAAGGCAATAATTTTTACATGCTGTCAGTTTCTGAACAGGGCCCACGTTATCAGTGTAAATCACCCTGATGCCCTGACTAGAAGGGTGATTTTTGGTAGTAACACTGATGCTGTTGGGTATTTTTTTCGGGACCTTGATTTACCCTGATGTGTCAGGTTCTAAGATTAAGGAACACTGTCGCCTCAGGGTTGCCGTTCCGCTTATCGAGGTTCTTCACAGCCTTTTTCACCTTTTCCACCTTTGAAGCACCCCCACTTTGGCCACCCTTGGTGCTGCTTCCACCACTGCCACCACCACTACTCTTGCCGTCGCTGCTGCTACTGCTAGGCTTACCACCAGAAACACCACCACTCGCCTTACTCCTGGAAATCTTCCTCGCACCCCTTGCTGCCCCTGCCTCTCCCACCGCCTTCCTCCGCATCACCATCCCACTGCCCCCTGCCAGCTCACTCCCACGCTGCACTGCTTCTGCTGAGCCTGTTCTCACACTAGCAGAGGCAGCAGCAGAGGTGGGCTGTGCAGGTGCACTGGAGGCAGGCAGCTCTGGGGTGTCTTGGCCCCCCCTGGGCTGGCCTGCAGCAGTCCAGTGAGGGGAAACGGTGATTCTGGGCGGCACAGGGGCGTCGGCACGCACTGAGGCACCGGCTGGTAGAGGCTGCACAAACACACGCATGCTGCTGCTGCCGCTGGTAGTGCTGCTGCTGGTAGTGCTGCTGCTGGTAGTGCTGCTGCTGGAGCCGCTGCTAGTGCCAAGAGCTGTTGTTGCTACAAGTGGTGATGCCAGTGGGGGGGAGGCGGCATGAGAAGAGGGGTACGGGGAGGGAGAGGGGGACGGAGGGCCAGATGGGATGGAGGCGAGGTAGGCGGGGATGTTGAAGGCAGGCGCGACGTGGGGGGGAGGGTCGTGCGGGGTGAGAGGCGGGTCGATGGTGGAGCGGCCGTTGTGGGAGAGCAGAAAGTAGCCGTATGGCAGCGCTGCATCCACCTGGTGGTGCGGGCGAGAGGGGTAGGGGAGGGTCATGGGGGGTGAGAAGTGGTGGGGGAGGGTCGTGGGGGGTGAGCGGCGGGTCGACGGTGGAGCGGCCGTTGTGGGAGAGCAGAAAGTAGCCGTACGGCAGTGCTGCATCCACCTGGTGATGGCGGTGAGTGAGGCATGGGATGGGGAGAAGGATGGCGATTGGGACATGTGCATGTGGATGGGAATGGGAATGGGCATGGATGGGGGTGGATGCTTGCACTGCCATGCATGCAATAAACCTGATGCTGTGCACCCAACGACACGCCTCCCACCTCAGGCATGGTGCAGCCCTGGGCATGCCACAGGTGCGCACAGCCACTGGAGGAACGGGCATGGATCCAGTCAGCACATGTGCTGCTCACACACACCTGTATGTGCAGGGTGACGTGGAGGGCAGCACAGATGACGTGGACGAGTGAGGGAGTGCCATCTGGCAGAGCGGGTCCCATGAGCAGCTGCTCACACGTGGCAGGCGAGGCAGTCAGACCCACCACCACCTCCTCACGCCCGCCCTCTCTCTCTTCACCCTCCTCACCCCCACCACTCGCTGCTTCTGCTGCTGCTGCTTGGGCCCTGCGCTCCCGCCGCCTCTCCCTGGCACCTTTTCCCTGCCTGCCCTGCTTGCTGCCTGCCGCTGCTGCAGACTGAGCCTGCCGTTGGCAAGGGGGGGATGGGGGAAGGGGTTAGGGGCGCATGTGGGGTGCATGGGTGTGGGGAGGAAAGGGCGCACATGGTGGTGCATGGGTGTGCGGAGGAAAGGGGGTGGGATGAGATGCAGATGGTGAGACGAGGCCGGCAAGGCCTTCACAATCTATCACGCAGCCACTCAACCCCCTCCCATCGCTGCACCCCCCAATGTGTCCCCCACACAAGCGCCTCCCCCAGACCTGCACCCCCCAACTGGCCCCCCGCACCCGCCCGGGCCATAGTCACCCCAGAATCAGCAGCAGGTGAGCGCACCAGGCAGCGCTGCAGCGCGCGCTCGAGTCGAGCCAGCATGGCCAGACGTGACTCCACCCGCCCTGCCGCCCAGCAGCACCTGCACGGCGCCGTCAGCGAGGCGGCAAGGCTTGGACGCATCTGATGGCATGTGCAGGTGGGGAGGGGGGGAGGGTGAGAGGAGAGGTGAGAGCAGGCATGGGGATGAGGGGTGTGAGAAGGATAGGACATGGTTCACTGCATTGGCCAACACACAGCACGTGGAACTGCACCACACACACTGGGCCGCAGAGCACATGGGAGGACCGGGAGGACCGCACTGCACCGCAGTGAACCGACCCAGAGAGCACTCACACGCTGGCGGGTGAGTTCGAGCAGGCCGAACTGCGAGATCTCCCCCACTCGCACCTTGCGCCGGTCCCCCCCCATCGCCCTCCTCACCTCCTCCTCCACCGCCCTCCGGTGCTCCGCTGCGAGAAAGGAGGTGGGGGAAAGGAGGGGGGAAAGAGATGGCATGTGTGATTCCCTAGTAGGATCAGCACAGCAGCACTGAGAGGCGTTCGCACTAATGCATGTGAATGGAGTCAATCAAGTCAACAAGTCAATCCAGTCAATGACATGAAGCGAGTCACGGGAGGGACAGTCACCTTTATGCATGTCGATAAAGTCAATCACCACGAGCCCTCCCAGGTCCCTCAGCCGCAGCTCCACTGCAATCTGCCATGGCGGAGGGGGGAGCAGCAGAGGCAGTTAACGACTTGGGATGTGGAATGGCAAGGGCAGCTGCGGGACCTTGCATGGCCCACAGCTTCCAGCTACAGGGCGGGCAAGCCCGCTGAGGGCTGGCACCCACCCTGTCTGTCGGCGATGCAGAGCGCACCCACCTGTCTGGCGGCAGCGAGGTTGACAGCGAGGAAAGTGCCCTCATGCCGTGCCGTGGGCTGCAGAATGAGGCTCAAGAGTCATGAGACTCTTGAGCGGACTCACAACACATTTGCCCAGCAGCCTCAAAGGTGCTGTAGCCACACACCTGCCTAGCAGCAACACAGCACACGTGCTGCTGACACCCACCTGGCGAGCGGCAGCGAGGTTGACAGCAAGGAAGGTGTCCTCCTGCCGTGCCGTGGGCTGCAGCACGCTCCACCCGCTGTTCACGTCGATCGCCACCAGCGCCTCCGTCTCCTCTATCACCAGGGACCCGCCGCCTGCCAGGGGAACACTGGTGTGGAGAGAGGGAGAGGGAGAGAGGCGGTGTGCAGCACACCGCCTCCGTCACCTATATCACCAGCTAGCGGCACACTGGTGGAGGGAGAGAGAGAGAGGCGGGGAGCCGCCCCCGGCCAGCGGCACACTGGTGTGGAGAGGAGTAGCGGTGGAAGAGTGACGAAAGGGGGACTGCTGTTGGTGTTGGAGTGGTACGGGTTTGACACATCATGCAGTGTGGCGGCAGGAGACAAGGGGGGAGACAAGGGGAGAGACAAGGGGGGATTAGTCAGCATGTACAAGTGTTGGAATTACCTGGCATGTAGGGGAGCGCGTACCAGCGGTGCAGTGCAGAGAGCAGGGCAGGTTCGATGTGGGCGGTGTCAAAGATGGGCGATGGGCCTGCATGCAGCTGCACCCGCCCACACAGCGCCGGCTGCATGCGCTGTAGATACGCCTCCAGCTGCAACCATGCCGCACACAGGGGGGAGGGGGGAAGAGGTGAATTCACAGGAGTCTACATGAATGAGACACAAGCACACATGGGGGAGGGGGGGGGGTGTGCGTAACGGGGGAAATGACAGGAGTCCATATCTTTAGGTGTCGGAGCGATGGGCGCCGGGCCCATCGTTGGGGGAACCTGATGGGGAACCTGATGCGGAACCTGATGGGGAACCTGATGGGGAACCTGATGGGGAACCTGATGGGGAACCTGATGCGGAACCTGATGGGGAACCTGATGCGGAACCTGATGGGGAACCTGATGGGGAACCTGATGGGGAACCTGATGGGGAACCTGATGCGGAACCTGATGGGGAACCTGATGGGGAACCTGATGGGGAACCTGAAGGGGTGGGGAACCTGATGGGGAACCTGACGGGGTGGGGAACCTGATGGGGAACCTGATGGGGAACATGCGGAACCTGATGGGGAACCTGATGGGGTGGGGAACCTGATGGGGAACCTGATGGGGAACCTGATGGGGAACCTGATGCGGAACCTGATGCGGAACCTAATGGGGAACCTGATGCGGAACCTGATGCGGAACCTGATGGGGAACCTGATGGGGAACCTGATGGGGAACCTGATGGGGAACCTGATGGGGAACCTGATGGGGAACCTGATGCGGAACCTGATGGGGAACCTGATGGGGAACCTGATGGGGAACCTGATGCGCAACCTGATGCGCAACCTGATGCGGAACCTGATGCGGAACCTGATGGGGAACCTGATGGGGAACCTGATGGGGAACCTGATGGGGAACCTGATGGGGAACCTGATGGGGAACCTGATGGGGAACCTGATGGGGAACCTGATGGGGTGGGGAACCTGATGGGGAACCTGATGGGGAACCTGATGGGGAACCTGATGCGGAACCTGATGGGGAACCTGATGGGGTGGGGAACCTGATGGGGTGGGGAACCTGATGGGGAACCTGATGGGGAACCTGATGGGGAACCTGATGCGGAACCTGATGGGGAACCTGATGCGGAACCTGATGGGGAACCTGATGGGGAACCTGATGGGGAACCTGATGGGGTGGGGAACCTGATGGGGAACCTGATGGGGAACCTGATGGGGAACCTGATGCGGAACCTGATGGGGAACCTGATGGGGTGGGGAACCTGATGGGGAACCTGATGGGGAACCTGATGGGGAACCTGATGGGGAACCTGATGCGGAACCTGATGGGGAACCTGATGCGGAACCTGATGGGGAACCTGATGGGGAACCTGATGGGGAACCTGATGGGGAACATGATGGGGAACCTGATGGGGAACCTGATGGGGAACCTGATGGGGAACCTGATGGGGTGGGGAACCTGATGGGGAACCTGACGGGGTGGGGAACCTGATGGGGTGGGGAACCTGATGGGGAACCTGATGGGGAACCTGATGGGGAACCTGATGCGGAACCTGATGGGGAACCTGATGCGGAACCTGATGGGGAACCTGATGCGGAACCTGATGGGGAACCTGATGGGGAACCTGATGGGGTGGGGAACCTGATGGGGAACCTGATGGGGAACCTGATGGGGAACCTGATGGGGAACCTGATGCGGAACCTGATGGGGAACCTGATGGGAAACCTGATGGGGAACCTGATGCGGAACCTGATGCGCAACCTGATGCGGAACCTGATGGGGAACCTGATGGGGAACCTGATGGGGAACCTGATGGGGAACCTGATGGGGTTGGGAACCTGATGGGGAACCTGATGGGGAACCTGATGCGGAACCTGATGGGGAACCTGATGGGGTGGGGAACCTGATGGGGAACCTGATGGGGAACCTGATGGGGAACCTGATGGGGAACCTGATGGGGAACCTGATGGGGTGGGGAAACTGATGGGGAACCTGATGGGGAACCTGATGGGGAACCTGATGCGGAACCTGATGGGGAACCTGATGGGGTGGGGAACCTGATGGGGAACCTGATGGGGAACCTGATGGGGAACCTGATGGGGAACCTGATGCGGAACCTGATGGGGAACCTGATGCGGAACCTGATGGGGAACCTGATGGGGAACCTGATGGGGAACCTGATGGGGAACCTGATGCGGAACCTGATGGGGAACCTGATGCGGAACCTGATGGGGAACCTGATGGGGAACCTGATGGGGAACCTGATGGGGAACCTGATGGGGAACCTGATGGGGAACCTGATGGGGAACCTGATGCGTAACCTGATGGGGAACCTGATGGGGAACCTGATGGGGAACCTGATGGGGAACCTGATGCGGAACCTGATGGGGAACCTGATGGGGAACCTGATGGGGAACCTGATGCGGAACCTGATGGGGAACCTGATGGGGAACCTGATGGGGAACCTGATGGGGAACCTGATGGGGAACCTGATGGGGAACCTGATGGGGAACCTGATGCGTAACCTGATGGGGAACCTGATGGGGAACCTGATGGGGAACCTGATGGGGAACCTGATGGGGAACCTGATGGGGAACCTGATGGGGAACATGATGGGGAACCTGATGGGGAACCTGATGGGGAACCTGATGGGGAACCTGATGGGGTGGGGAACCTGATGGGGAACCTGACGGGGTGGGGAACCTGATGGGGTGGGGAACCTGATGGGGAACCTGATGGGGAACCTGATGGGGAACCTGATGCGGAACCTGATGGGGAACCTGATGCGGAACCTGATGGGGAACCTGATGCGGAACCTGATGGGGAACCTGATGGGGAACCTGATGGGGTGGGGAACCTGATGGGGAACCTGATGGGGAACCTGATGGGGAACCTGATGGGGAACCTGATGCGGAACCTGGTGGGGAACCTGATGGGAAACCTGATGGGGAACCTGATGCGGAACCTGATGCGCAACCTGATGCGGAACCTGATGGGGAACCTGATGGGGAACCTGATGGGGAACCTGATGGGGAACCTGATGGGGAACCAGATGGGGAACCTGATGGGGAACCTGATGCGGAACCTGATGGGGAACCTGATGGGGAACCTGATGGGGTGGGGAACCTGATGGGGAACCTGATGGGGAACCTGATGGGGAACCTGATGGGGAACCTGATGCGGAACCTGATGGGGAACCTGATGGGAAACCTGATGGGGAACCTGATGCGGAACCTGATGCGCAACCTGATGCGGAACCTGATGCGGAACCTGATGGGGAACCTGATGGGGAACCTGATGGGGAACCTGATGGGGAACCTGATGGGGAACCTGATGGGGAACCTGATGGGGAACCTGATGGGGAACCTGATGGGGAACCTGATGGGGAACCTGATGGGGAACCTGATGGGGAACCTGATGGGGGACCTGATTGGGAACCTGATGGGGAACCTGATGGGGTACCTGATGGGGAACCTGATGCGGAACGTGATGGGGAACCTGATGGGGAACCTGATGGGGAACCTGATGGGGAACCTGATGGGGAACCTGATGGGGAACCTGATGGGGAACCTGATGGGGAACCTGATGGGGAACCTGATGGGGAACCTGATGGGGAACCTGATGGGGTGGGGAACCTGATGATGGGGAACCTGACGGGGTGGGGAACCTATGGGGAACCTGATGGGGAACCTGATGGGGAACCTGATGCGGAACCTGATGGGGAACCTGATGGGGAACCTGATGGGGAACCTGATGGGGAGTCTGATGGGGAGCCTGATGGGGAACCTGTTGGGGAACCTGATGGGGAACCTGATGGGGAACCTGATGGGGAACCTGATGCGGAACCTGATGGGGAACCTGATGGGGAACCTGATGGGGAACCTGATGGGAAACCTGATGGGGAACCTGATGGGGAACCTGATGGGGAACCTGATGCGGAACCTGATGCGGAACCTGATGGGGAACCTGATGGGGAACCTGATGCGTAACCTGATGGGGAACCTGATGGGGAACCTGATGGGGAACCTGATGCGGAACCTGATGGGGAACCTGATGGGGAACCTGATGGGGAACCTGATGGGGAACCTGATGGGGAACCTGATGGGGAACCTGATGGGGTGGGGAACCTGATGATGGGGAACCTGACGGGGTGGGGAACCTGATGGGGAACCTGATGGGGAACCTGATGGGGAACCTGATGCGGAACCTGATGGGGAACCTGATGGGGTGGGGAACCTGATGGGGAACCTGATGGGGAACCTGATGGGAAACCTGATGCGGAACCTGATGCGGAACCTGATGCGGAACCTGATGGGGAACCTGATGCGGAACCTGATGGGGAACCTGATGGGGAACCTGATGGGGAACCAGATGGGGAACCTGATGGGGAACCTGATGCGGAACCTGATGGGGAACCTGATGGGGAACCTGATGGGGAACCTGATGGGGAACCTGATGGGGAACCTGATGGGGAACCTGATGGGGAACCTGATGGGGAACCTGATGGGGAACCTGATGGGGAACCTGATGGGGAACCTGATGCGTAACCTGATGGGGAACCTGATGGGGAACCTGATGGGGAACCTGATGGGGAACCTGATGGGGAACCTGATGCGGAACCTGATGGGGAACCTGATGGGGAACCTGATGGGGTGGGGAACCTGATGGGGAACCTGATGGGGAACCTGATGGGGAACCTGATGCGGAACCTGATGCGCAACCTGATGCGGAACCTGATGCGGAACCTGATGGGGAACCTGATGGGGAACCTGATGGGGAACCTGATGGGGAACCTGATGCGGAACCTGATGGGGAACCTGATGGGGAACCTGATGGGGAACCTGATGGGGAACCTGATGGGGAACCTGATGCGGAACCTGATGCGGAACCTGATGGGGAACCTGATGGGGAACCTGATGCGGAACCTGATGGGGAACCTGATGGGGAACCTGATGGGGAACCTGATGCGGAGCCTGATGGGGAACCTGATGGGGAACCTGATGGGGAACCTGATGCGGAACCTGATGGGGAACCTGATGGGGAACCTGATGGGGAACCTGATGGGGAACCTGATGGGGAACCTGATGGGGAACCTGATGGGGAACCTGATGCGGAACCTGATGGGGAACCTGATGGGGAACCTGATGGGGAACCTGATGGGGAACCTGATGGGGAACCTGATGGGGAACCTGATGCGGAACCTGATGCGGAACCTGATGGGGAACCTGATGGGGAACCTGATGCGTAACCTGATGGGGAACCTGATGGGGAACCTGATGGGGAACCTGATGGGGAACCTGATGGGGAACTTGATGGGGAACCTGATGGGGTGGGGAACCTGATGATGGGGAACCTGACGGGGTGGGGAACCTGATGGGGAACCTGATGGGGAACCTGATGGGGAACCTGATGCGGAACCTGATGGGGAACCTGATGGGGTGGGGAACCTGATGGGGAACCTGATGGGGAACCTGATGGGAAACCTGATGCGGAACCTGATGCGGAACCTGATGCGGAACCTGATGGGGAACCTGATGCGGAACCTGATGGGGAACCTGATGGGGAACCTGATGGGGAACCAGATGGGGAACCTGATGGGGAACCTGATGCGGAACCTGATGGGGAACCTGATGGGGAACCTGATGGGGAACCTGATGGGGAACCTGATGGGGAACCTGATGGGGAACCTGATGGGGAACCTGATGGGGAACCTGATGGGGAACCTGATGGGGAACCTGATGGGGAACCTGATGCGTAACCTGATGGGGAACCTGATGGGGAACCTGATGGGGAACCTGATGGGGAACCTGATGGGGAACCTGATGCGGAACCTGATGGGGAACCTGATGGGGAACCTGATGGGGTGGGGAACCTGATGGGGAACCTGATGGGGAACCTGATGGGGAACCTGATGCGGAACCTGATGCGCAACCTGATGCGGAACCTGATGCGGAACCTGATCGGGAACCTGATGGGGAACCTGATGGGGAACCTGATGGGGAACCTGATGCGGAACCTGATGGGGAACCTGATGGGGAACCTGATGGGGAACCTGATGGGGAACCTGATGGGGAACCTGATGCGGAACCTGATGCGGAACCTGATGGGGAACCTGATGGGGAACCTGATGCGGAACCTGATGGGGAACCTGATGGGGAACCTGATGGGGAACCTGATGCGGAACCTGATGGGGAACCTGATGGGGAACCTGATGGGGAACCTGATGCGGAACCTGATGGGGAACCTGATGGGGAACCTGATGGGGAACCTGATGGGGAACCTGATGGGGAACCTGATGGGGAACCTGATGGGGAACCTGATGCGGAACCTGATGGGGAACCTGATGGGGAACCTGATGGGAAACCTGATGGGGTGGGGAACCTGATGGGGTGGGGAACCTGATGGGGTGGGGAACCTGATGGGGTGGGGAACCTGATGGGGAACCTGATGCGGAATCTGATGGGGAACCTGATGGGGAACCTGATGCGGAACCTGATGCGGAACCTGATGGGGAACCTGATGCGGAACCTGATGGGGAACCTGATGGGGAACCTGATGGGGAACCTGATGGGGAACCTGATGGGGAACCTGATGCGGAACCTGATTTGGAACCTGATGCGGAACCTGATGGGGAACCTGATGGGGAACCTGATGGGGAACCTGATGGGGAACCTGTTGCGGAACCTGATGGGGAACCTGATGGGGAACCTGATGCGGAACCTGATGGGGAACCTGTTGGGGAACCTGATGGGGAACCTGATGGGGAACCTGATGGGGAACCTGATGGGGAACCTGATGGGGAACCTGATGGGGAACCTGATGGGGAACCTGATGCGGAACCTGATGCGGAACCTGATGGGGAACCTGATGGGGAACCTGATGCGTAACCTGATGGGGAACCTGATGGGGAACCTGATGGGGAACCTGATGGGGAACCTGATGGGGTGGGGAACCTGATGGGGAACCTGATGGGGAACCTGATGGGGAACCTGATGGGGAACCTGATGCGGAACCTGATTTGGAACCTGATGCGGAACCTGATGGGGAACCTGATGGGGAACCTGATGGGGAACCTGATGGGGAACCTGTTGCGGAACCTGATGGGGAACCTGATGGGGAACCTGATGCGGAACCTGATGGGGAACCTGTTGGGGAACCTGATGGGGAACCTGATGGGGAACCTGATGGGGAATCTGATGGGGAACCTGATGGGGAACCTGATGGGGAACCTGATGGGGAACCTGATGGGGAACCTGATGGGGAACCGGATGGGGAACCTGATGGGGAACCTGATGGGGAACCTGATGGGGAACCTGATGGGGAACCTGATGGGAAACCTGATGGGGTGGGGAACCTGATGGGGTGGGGAACCTGATGGGGTGGGGAACCTGATGGGGTGGGGAACCTGATGGGGAACCTGATGCGGAATCTGATGGGGAACCTGATGGGGAACCTGATGCGGAACCTGATGCGGAACCTGATGGGGAACCTGATGCGGAACCTGATGGGGAACCTGATGGGGAACCTGATGGGGAACCTGATGGGGAACCTGATGGGGAACCTGATGCGGAACCTGATGGGGAACCTGATGGGGAATCTGATGGGGAACCTGATGGGGAACCTGATGCGGAACCTGATGGGGAACCTGATGGGGAACCTGATGGGGAACCGGATGGGGAACCTGATGGGGAACCTGATGGGGAACCTGATGGGGAACCTGATGGGGAACCTGATGGGAAACCTGATGGGGTGGGGAACCTGATGGGGTGGGGAACCTGATGGGGTGGGGAACCTGATGGGGTGGGGAACCTGATGGGGAACCTGATGCGGAATCTGATGGGGAACCTGATGGGGAACCTGATGCGGAACCTGATGCGGAACCTGATGGGGAACCTGATGCGGAACCTGATGGGGAACCTGATGGGGAACCTGATGGGGAACCTGATGGGGAACCTGATGGGGAACCTGATGCGGAACCTGATGGGGAACCTGATGGGGAACCTGATGGGGAACCTGATGGGGAACCTGATGCGGAACCTGATGGGGAACCTGATGGGGAACCTGATGGGGAACCTGATGCGGAACCTGATGGGGAACCTGATGCGGAACCTGATGGGGAACCTGATGCGGAACCTGATGGGGAACCTGATGGGGAACCTGATGGGGAACCTGATGCGGAACCTGATGGGGAGAGGGGATGGGATGAGGGAGAAGGGGATGGGATGAGGGAGAAGGGGTTGGGATGAGGGAGAAGGGGATGGGATGAGGGAGAAGGGGATGGAATGAGGGAGAAGGGGATGGAATGAGGGAGAAGGGGATGGAATGAGGGAGAAGGGGATGGAATGAGGGAGAAGGGGGTGGGATGAGGGAGAAGGGGATGGGATGAGGGAGAAGGGGATGGGATGAGGGATAAGGGGATGGGATGAGGGAGAAGGGGATGGAATGAGGGAGAAGGGGATGGAATGAGGGAGAAGGGGATGGAATGAGGGAGAAGGGGATGGAATGAGGGAGAAGGGGATGGAATGAGGGAGAAGGGGATGGGATGAGGGAGAAGGGGATGGGATGAGGGAGAAGGGGATGGGATGAGGGATAAGGGGATGGGATGAGGGAGAAGGGGATGGAATGAGGGAGAAGGGGATGGAATGAGGGAGAAGGGGATGGAATGAGGGAGAAGGGGATGGAATGAGGGAGAAGGGGATGGAATGAGGGAGAAGGGGATGGAATGAGGGAGAAGGGGATGGGATGAGGGAGAAGGGGATGGAATGAGGGAGAAGGGGATGGAATGAGGGAGAAGGGGATGGAATGAGGGAGAAGGGGATGGAATGAGGGAGAAGGGGATGGAATGAGGGAGAAGGGGATGGGATGAGGGTGAAGGGGATGGAATGAGGGAGAAGGGGATGGAATGAGGGAGAAGGGGATGGAATGAGGGAGAAGGGGATGGAATGAGGGAGAAGGGGATGGAATGAGGGAGAAGGGGATGGAATGAGGGAGAAGGGGATGGAATGAGGGAGAAGGGGATGGAATGAGGGAGAAGGGGATGGAATGAGGGAGAAGGGGATGGAATGAGGGAGAAGGGGATGGAATGAGGGAGAAGGGGATGGGATGAGGGAGAAGGGGATGGAATGAGGGAGAATGGGATGGAATGAGGGAGAAGGGGATGGAATGAGGGAGAAGGGGATGGAATGAGGGAGAAGGGGATGGAATGAGGGAGAAGGGGATGGAATGAGGGAGAAGGGGATGGAATTAGGGAGAAGGGTATGGAATGAGGGACAAGGGTATGGAATGAGGGAGAAGGGGATGGAATGAGGGAGAAGGGGATGGAATGAGGGAGAAGGGGATGGAATGAGGGAGAAGGGGATGGAATGAGGGAGAAGGGTATGGAATGAGGGACAAGGGGATGGAATGAGGGAGAGGGCGTACCTCTTGCAGGAAGGCAGGCGAGTCGACCACGAGGCGCGACACCTGTGGTGCGGTGGGGCGGTGAGGAGAGGGAGATGGTCAGGTGGTTCAAGGGTAGTTGGGAGGAAGGAGGATGAATGTGGATCATGGAAAAGAGAGGGGTGGTGGATGAGGAGAGAGGGGTGATGGATGAGGAGAGAGGGGCAAAGGGGCGTGGGATGATGCAGCAGTGGTGCGGAGGCTAATGAAGCACAAGCAAGCAAGTCAGTGACCAAGCACTTGAAGTCACCAGCGTCTCCATCACCACCTGGGCCATGCGTGCTTCGACCCGCAACGATGGTCTGTTGTGAAACCCCATGTGTGGCCCACCCCACCTGCTGGGAGTGCTATGTGAAGCTCCTACCTTGACATGGGGCTGTCTTGACATGGGCCTGTCTCATAAATCCCCCACCTGGTGGTGCTGCACGAGCAGAGAGTGAATGACATCCAGAGCCATGGGTGTGCCCTGCAGCAGCAGCGTGGGTCCCACAGCCGGCACGTCCGCCACGCTCCTCACGTGCCCCGCCACCGCATTCGCACGCGCCAGCACCGCTCTCCACCGCGCCACCAGCTCCGCTAGATCCTCCCCCAGCTCGCCCTCCCCCTTCCCCACCGCCGCCTGCCGCACCTGCTGGGACCCAGGCCGGGAGGAGTGAAGGGAGGGCGAGTGAAGTGGTGGGGCGAGCGCAGGGTGGGCGAGTGAAGTGGTGGGGCGAGCGCAGGGTTGGCACATGCAGACAAGGCAGGCAGCGGCATTGCGGTCCGCCCCATAGGAGAGGAGCGGGAGGGGAGGAGGTGCGCGGGGAGGGGAGCGAAGGGGATAGGCAAGAGGAGAGGGAAGTAGCGCAGCAGGAGAGGGGAAGGGAAGAGGTGGCAGCAGCAGGAGGAACGGGGTGCAGTGCGGTAATGTGCATTAGGGCAGGAGCGCACCTGGATGGAGAAGGAGCGAGTGGGTGCGAGGCGGGCGACAATGGCCTGAATGCGTGCTGCCTCCTCTGCTGCCACCCCCCTCGGCATCACCAACCCTGTTCCCCGCAGCACCAGCCGCTGATGGGCGCAGGTTGGGGCGCGGGACAGAGAAAGATTATGAGATGGGGAGCGAGGGCCGGGAGCGAGGGCCGGGGCGGAGAGGATTGAAGGGAGCGGAAAGGTAGGGCAGAGTGCAAAGAGCACTCACAAAGCAGCGGCCTGCGAGCACGGGGAACGCTCGCAGCACAGAGTCCTTGGCGCCGATGGGCCCTCGCACCACCTGCACCAGAATCAGCATGCCCGCCCGCACCTCCCCCCACTCCTCATACTGCTCCTCCTCCTCCTCCTCCCGCTCCTCATCGCCCTCTGCTCCCCCCTCCCTCGCCTCCTCGCCCCCCCTCGTCCCCCCGTTATCCCCTCCCTCTATGGCCCCCGCTCGCCTCGCTCGCTCTCTCGCCGCCCGCCGCGACTCCATGAGCTGGCGCCACGTCAGCGACCACGCGGCCGAGCGGCGGCTCCTCGGCTGGCCTCGGGAGCCCGGGATGACTGTCAGCCGCCCGCCGCCCAGCCTGCCGCCCGCCGTGTAGGGCGGCGCACTTACCCTTGGCCGCCGCACCCCTGGCAGTGGCTCAACCCCCCAAGTGGACTCACTTGGTTTGGCAGCAGCATCGACCCACCCACTCCCCCCTCCCCCCTCTCCACCCACCGCCCCTCCCCCTGACCCCCCTTGCCTGCTCTGTCCACTCTCCTCCCCTCCGCCCGCCCTTATGCCTTCCGCCCACCCCTTGCCTCCAGCGCCCTCCTTCCCCCCTTGCCCCTTGCAGCCGCCTTCCCCCCGCTTCCTCCTCCCCCTGGCGCTGGCAGGGGCGGGGGGGGCGGGGGGGAGGGGGAGGTTGAGTTGCTGGGAGAGCAGGGCGGAGTAGCGGCGGCGGGGGGAGGGGGAGAGGGGCAGGGGGAGGGTGGCGGCGAGGGAGAGCAGGCGGGGGCGGCCGGACGGGCGGCGCAGAGGGGGGTCTGGTTGCTGCTCCTGCTGCTGCTGCTGCTGCCTCCTCCCCTGCTGCTGCTCCTCCTGCTGTTTCTGTTCCTGCTGCTCCTGCAGCTCCTTTTCCCTTGTGCCTGCCTCTCCTTCCTCTACATCCGCTTCCCTCTCATCTGCCCTCCTACCCGCCCCGTCCTCGTCCCTGCTTTCACTGCTGCCGCCGCTGCTGCTGCTGCCGGTGGTGGTGGTGGTGGTGGTGGGGGTGCTGGTGGAGGTTGGAACGGGAAGACGCGGGGCAGTAGCAGAACGGGCACGAGCGGAGGGCGGTGGCGATGGGAGGGAGGGTTTGGGGTACAGCGGGACAGGGTTGGCGGCCGGGTGGGGAGGGGCAGAAGGGTGGAGAGAGGCGGGTTCGGTGGGGAACGCGTTGAGAGCATCAAGCTGTGGTGGTGTGGGCAGGGGTGTGAGCAGGGGTGTGGGCAGGGGTGTGGGCAGGGGTGTGGGCAGGGGTGTGGGCAGGGGTGTGGGCAGGGGTGTGGGCAGGGGTGTGGGCAGGGGTGTGGGCAGGGGTGTGGGCAGGGGTGTGGGCAGGGGTGTGGGCAGGGGTGTGGGCAGGGGTGTGGGCAGGGGTGTGGGCAGGGGTGTGGGCAGGGGTGTGGGCAGGGGTGTGGGCAGGGGTGTGGGCAGGGGTGTGGGCAGGGGTGTGGGCAGGGGTGTGGGCAGGGGTGTGGGCAGGGGTGTGGGCAGGGGTGTGGGCAGGGGTGTGGGCAGGGGTGTGGGCAGGGGTGTGGGCAGGGGTGTGGGCAGGGGTGTGGGCAGGGGTGTGGGCAGGGGTGTGGGCAGGGGTGTGGGCAGGGGTGTGGGCAGGGGTGTGGGCAGGGGTGTGGGCAGGGGTGTGGGCAGGGGTGTGGGCAGGGGTGTGGGCAGGGGTGTGGGCAGGGGTGTGGGCAGGGGTGTGGGCAGGGGTGTGGGCAGGGGTGTGGGCAGGGGTGTGGGCAGGGGTGCAGCAGGGTCAACAAGGGGGTCTGCTGATGCGAGGGCGGGGGGGAGGGAGGGCAATGGGAGGGCAGGCTGGAGTTGCACAGGAGGGGGTAGGGAGGAAGGGGGTATGGAGGGCGGGGAAGGGGCAGGCAGGGGGAGCGGGCGGGTGTGCAGGGCGAGAGAGAGGGAAGAGGCGGCATGAGCAGGCAGGCAATCGGTTAAGCCGTTGGTGGGGTCCCGACTGTCAAGCCCATTCCCTGACTTCCCCACCACCTCTACTGCTGCTTCTGCCTTCTCCTCCTCGGGCTTCTGTTCCCCCCCATGCTTCTTCTCTGCCTCCCCACTGCTCTCCTCTTCTTCCTCCTCTTCTTCCTCCTCCTCCTCATCCTCCTCCTCTTCTTCTTCCTCCTCCTCCTCATCCTCCTCCTCTTCTTCTTCCTCCTCCTCCTCATCCTCCTCCTCTTCTTCTTCCTCCTCCTCCTCATCCTCCTCCTCTTCTTCTTCCTCCTCCTCCTCATCCTCCTCCTCTTCTTCTTCCTCCTCCTCCTCATCCTCCTCCTCTTCTTCTTCCTCCTCCTCCGCCCAATCATCACCAGCGCCCATGCCTCGCCTCCTCACAGCCTTCTTCCTCCGCCGCCTCCCATCTGCCCTCGCTTCTTCCCCCTCCATCTCCCATTCCTCCTCTTCCCCCTCCTCCCACCCTCCTCCTTCCTCTTCCTCCTCCTCCTCACCCACCTCCTCAGCATCACCTTCCACACGCTCCCACCCCTCTCTCTCATCCTCACTCCCTTCTGATCCTTTCGATTGCCGTGACATGGCATCGCCATGAGCATCAACATCCGGATCAGCAGCATCGCCGCCATCACTGCTGTGGTCCTCGAGGTCCGTCTCGTGTTGAGGCGCCTCAAAACTATACGGATCAGCAGCAGCAGCATGGACGGCATCACTGCTGCTCTCGTCCTCAAGGTCCGTCTCGAACTCACCCTCCACGTCCACCCACTCCTCCTCCCCTTCTTCTTCCTCCTCTTCCTCTTCCCCTTCCTCCTCCTCCTCCTCCTCATCCTCCTCCTCCTCTCCATCCTCCTTTTCCTCCTCCTCCTCCCCATCCTCCTCTTCTATCCACTCCTCGTCTTCATCGCCCAGTGTCTCTCCCTCCTCGTCGTCACTTTCTTCCGCCTCATCCTCATGCCACTCATGCAGGTCCTCTTCGAGACCCTCATCTTCTTCCTCTCCTTCCTCTCCTTCATCTTCCTCCTCCTCTTCCACAAAATCATCATCATCTTCCTCCTCATCATCTTGCATACCTGCCACCACCACTGCACCCCTATCCTCCCCTTCCCTCGCCTCCCATCCCTGAATCAACCCCCCACCCTCGACCTTCACTCCCATCCACACGCCTGCACTGCCTTCCGCCACGGCACCCGCCCCACCGCCTGTCTCCTCCCTCCCCACCAACGTCTCCCAGTGCCTCGCAGCATCCAGCCCTGCTCCCGAACCTGACTCCGACCCTGCACCCGTAGCTAGCACCGACCCTGCGGCCGCACCATTCTCTCTGGCTCTGACTCCGCCTGTGTCTGCATCACCGCCTGTCTCTGCCTCTCTGCCTCTCCCTGTGTTTGCCTCTGTCTCTCCCTCTGCCTCAGTGCCTGCCTCCCCACCAAGGCCCCCTACCACAGCCGTGTCACGCCATGCATGCGCAAGGGCAGAATCACCCCCAGTGGGTGGGAAGGTGAGGGGGCGGTCGTTGTGAGCCAGGTTGAGCAGCGAGGGCGCGGCGCCCCCAATGTCGACAAACGCGGCCTTCATGCCCGGATGCAGCGACCGGATCACCCCCAGGTACACGTCCCCCACGCGCACCCCCCACGGCGCGGGGGGAGGGGGAGGAGAGGCCAAGGGAGGTACGGGAGAAACGCTGCTGCCTGCTGCTGATGCTGTTGTGGGTGGGAATGTGGTTGGGTTGGGTGCGGTGAGTGGGGTGAGAGCAGCAGATGGAGCAGCAGCAGTGGTGGTGGTGGGGTGGGTGGGGCTGCGAGGGGAGGAGCGGAAGGGCAGTGCAGGGTGGGGGAGGGAGGGGGGCGGGGTGGAGGCGACGATGAGTTCGACCAGGCGCCCCTCCTCCACCACTGCCACTCGCTGCAGCCCCACTGACGAGCAGTTCACGTAGATCGACACGCCCCCTGGGGATGCTGCTGCTGCTGCTGCCTGTGATGCTGCTGCTGATGCTGATGCTGGGGGCGGTTTAGAGGTTAGGCTTCTGCCCCTCGCGTCGCCCTCAGCATCAGCGGCAGCGGCCGCCTTGAGAGCCTCCAACATGCCCGCTCCCAGCCCGCCCTGCCCACCTTGCCCGCTCTGCCCGCTCTGTTCGCCCTGCCCGCCCTGCCCTGCCTGCGCACCTGCTGCCTTCCCCTCCTCCACCTCACCCGTCACCCTCTCCCCCTCGTCCCGGGCCCCCTCGTTTGCCCCGTCCGCCCTCCCTGCCCACGCCCGCCCCTTCTCCTCCCCTTCCGCCCCCTCGCCCTCCGCCCCCTCCCTCTTTGCCCCCTCCCCTCTTGCCCCTTCGTCCTGCGTCTCCCCCCCAGCGGCCAGCGCCATGAGCTGTTCGCCGCGCTGCTGGGCGGCTCTCAGCGCGGAGAGCGCGGACAGGGCCGCCAGGCGCAGCCGCCACGCGCCAGTGGGGGCGCCGCCACCGCCGCTGCTGGGGTTGGGCGTGGGGATGTTGGCAGGCATGGGGGTGGGGTTGGCAGGCATGGGGGTGGGGTTGGCAGTGCTGCTGCTGCTCGCACTGGGAGCGGTGTTGATGCTGGCAGCGCCACTACCACCACCCACAGCGCCAGGGCCTAAAGGCAGGCCGCCAATGGCGCTTACCCCGCCTGCTGCTCCCCCTGCGCCCTCGCCCTTGCCCCCTCTTCCTCGTGCCACGCTAGGTGCCATGCGTGCCCCCCCTGCTCTCACCCGCCCTTTCCCTCCCCCAACTCTCCACCTGCTCTGGCTGCTTTCCCCCTCCTCGTCCTCCTCTAAATCCTCCTCAACATCCCAATGCTCCTCCCCTTCTTGCTCCCCCTCCCCCTCCCATCCATCCTCCCACTCCCCCTCATCTTCCATTCCCCCCTCGCCATCTGCCTCTCCCTCCCCCATACCTGCAGCCCCGCCTGTTTCCGCCGCAATCCGCGCTTTCTCCCCTCGCGCTTCCCCCAGTTCAGGACCGTCAGACCCCCTTTCATCCCCCACCCCATTTCCGCGCATTCCCCCGCCACCCACCCCAGCCCGCGCCCCCAACCGCGCGCCCCGTTCTGCTTCCCCAGGCCAGTCCTCGTCCAAATCCCCCTCCACTTCCCCCTCTAAGCTTCCGCCTTCGCGCCATGATCCCTCCGGGCCCCGCACCCCCTCAACTTCCGCCCGGTCTTCCGATTCTCTTGAGTCGCCGCGCCCTCCCCCATGCACTGCGCGCAACTTCCGCCCTCTCCCCTTGCCCGCCCCGCCTTCCTGCGCCGAGGTGCATCGTCCGCCAATGCGACTAGCGGAGGCGGACCTACGCAGAAGGGGCGCGGAAACTACCTGCTGCGGGTCCCGCCTGCACCTCCGCAACTCGCGCAGATGATCGCGGGAGGCGGAGACGAGCGGCGCTAGAGGGGCGGCTGTGACGACAGCATGGGGAACGGAAAGGGGAATGGGGGCGGGAACTGACATGGAGCGGTCGCGAAGCGCGTTGGAGAGGGACGGAAAGAGCGGAGAGAGCGACGGGAGTGCGACGAGAGTGCCTGCGACGGCTGCCTGGCGCGCATGCTGCAATCGGCGCGCTTTGAGCTGCTGGCCCGCGCTGATTTGGGTGATCTGTGTGCGAAGGATGGGTTGATTGGCGCCAATTCGCGTGAAGTGTAACTGCCTTGGGCCTTGGAAGTGGATAGTGATGGTGGGGCAAAATGAATGGACTCGATATGATATCACGCAATATGACGAACTGCCAAAGGTTTGAGCTAGTGTAATTCTAATTCGAGCAACACTAACTGAAAATGTATCATCAGTAGAAAATTTCAATGTTCCTACAGTCACCAATACTTCGCGGATTCAGCTTTCTCAATCACGAGTGGGTGAGGCTCAAGTCGCTGCTCCTTTGTCACGCACGCTGCTCTCAGTTGTTAGTGTTCGAATCGAAGTTGCTCGCCAAGCAGTGCAGCCAATACCAACGAGGTCGGCCCGATCCATTCTTCTCGTCTCCGTATGGCCGCCGTCGCGACACGGCGCGCGATTCGCTGATGCCTCGCACAGCGCCCTCCTGCACGCCCTTCCGCCTGCTCGCGATCGCCGCGCTCTCGCTTCTGCACCTCCGCCTCTTCCTCGCGCGCTACTTCCCCCAGCCCTTCGCGCCCTTCCGCGACTGCCCCGACACCGCCTCCGACGTCTCCGCCTTGCGCTCGGCGTTCCGCAAATGCCAGGGGGAGCTCGTGCACCGGCGCGTGGCTGCGCGGAGTGCTTATAACGATGCCTCGGCGGGCGGGGGGGATCTCGATGAGCGGTGGCTCGCCGAGAGCGCAGTCGCCGCCGTGCATCCCGGCGCTGGGGGCGGCGGGGAGGGCGGCGCAGATTCTGTTTCCGCGGAGTACGCGCGGAGACGGGACGCGCATCTGACGCGCTTGCAGGCGGATAGGCTGAGCGAATGCGCCGCTTCCGACGCGGAACTGAAGCAATTTCTGCGCTTCTATCCGCACGCCACGTGTCCCGACGACTGGGAGCTAGCCCACCGCCTCCGCGTCACCGACCATTGCCACGTCATCCCTCCCCGCGCGTGCCTCTCCCCCATCCCCCCTGACCCCGTGGAGCCCCCGCTGCATCCGGAGGCGCTCTGGACGCCGCTGGACGGGCGCAGCGTGCGGTGGGAGCGCTACGACTGCGCTGACGTGGCATGCATCGAGCGCAAGCTGGCAGCGTTTGCTGCAGGCGCTGCTGCGGACGCTGCAGCTGTAGCGGCTGTAGCGCGAGCGGTCAACTCGAGCCTGGACCCATTTCCCTGGGAGCGGCGCGAGGGGGAGGGCAAGCAGGATGAGCGGGGGAGGGGGAGGGGCGGGCGGGCAGGCGGACAGAATGGGGGGGTAAGGGAGGGAGACGCGGCGAGTGGATGCAGCAGGGATGGATGGGCGGGTGGGACTGCGTGCTTCCAGTTCACGCGCCCCTCCGCCAGCAGCGCGAGCGATGGCAGCCGTAGCAGTGGCAGCCATAGCATTGGCAGTGGTAGTGGCACTGGCAGGAGCGGGCGCAGCAGCCCCATGACTCGTGCTGCGAGTGGCAGTGCAGAGGAGGCAGGCACACGGGAGATGTTCCACATTCGCGATCTCATGCGCCTCAAGGGGGGCGCTGTGCGCTTGGGGCTGGACCTGGGCGGCGGAACAGGCCAGTTTGCCGCCCAGATGGCGCTGCACAATGTGACCATCCTCACTGTGCAGTCCAACCTCATTGGCTACCCTGACGCCTCACAGTCGCCCTCGGGTCTCACTCCTGCGGACACTACTGCAACCAGTCGCACCAGCACCAGCACCAGCAGCAGCGGTACGAGCAGTGCCAGAGGCAGCAGCAGCAGCAGCAGCAGCAGCAGGGTGGCGGTGCCATTTCAGGAGGCACTGGCGTGGAGGGGCCTGGTGGCGGTGGACATGCCTCTCACAGCGCGCCTGCCCCTCTTTGACGCCTCACTGGACCTGCTCCATGCCACCGGCACCGCCGGCCCCGCCCTCCTGCACGGCATCGACGCTCTGCCGCCCAGGGACTTCCACCTCGCTCTCTTTGACTGGGACCGCGTGCTCAGGCCGGGCGGCATTCTCTGGCTGGAAGCGATAGAGCACAGTGCTGACGCGATGTCACTGTACGAGGCGGCTCTGGAGCAGCTGGCATATCGCGTTGTGTTTGTGAGGAAGCTGGATGCAGTGGTGGGAGGGGTGCCACACAGGCATGTGCAGAGATTGTGGGTTGTTCTGGAAAAGCCAGTTGAGCGGAGGGCTGCGGCCAGTTCGGACAGTCAGGGGAAAAAGGGGAAAATGAGCAAACAAGTGCACTCTTTCGATCCAAATGTTCTGACTTTGATGAGCTGAAGTAACCAAAGCAATCCAATTATACACGTCTAATGCTCTTGAGATTATTTCAGGGTGCAGGGATATTTTCTTACGCATCGTTCTCTCAGGAAGATGTTACTATTGTTATACTGCCATTGCAGGTTTATTGTTATACTGTCATACATGACAGAATGAAGCACCTTATGCGGACTACACTCCACCTTGCAACATGAACAAACTGTAGTTCCACGAGCGACCGTCTGTAGTTGGTTTGGGGCTGAGCAGCAAGCCGAGCCTCGTGGTTCAACAAACGAACCTTTCCGAGAGTACACCATGGCAGAGGTATGCCCGACACCCAGCCAACGACCGCAGGTCGGGACAAGTGGCGCGTGCTTGTGGCCACCTAAGCCTCGTGTGCTTTGTCGGCGAAGTTGCGTGGCGAACCTTCGCTTGCATGGACACCTGCGCGGTGCTGGCAGGTTTCGCTGATCACTGGCAGGTGTTGGAGGCGCCCCAGAGCTTTGTAGCGTACTGTTTTCGGTCCAACCACCCGTTGCAGGCATTCCCAAACCCACCACAGCAAACTCACTCGTGGGTGGCCTCAGCATTTCGCACCTCGCCAGCTGTGAGGAATCAGACCAATCGTGGAGTAGTTTCGCATTATGTTTACGCGGTTGACCGAGTGACGTGGTGCCAGCGTACATGCGCAAGTCGACAGCCAGCCAGTGCCAAGCCACTGCCTATCTCTTTCCGAACCAGGTGTGCGGAGAAGGACATAGAGGCCTTGGCTGCTGACGTGGTTTAGGTTGCGGGACAGCTTGCCCGTGACTAACTCCCCGTGGGTTCTCAGCCACAGTACCCAGCATCGCGACACGGCCAAGTCGCGGTGGAGATTTGAACGCGGCCCGGGTGGCATGTCTTGCAGCATTGGCGAATGAGAAGTGCGACATTCTGCTGAGTAAGCTCGGAAGGAAGGCCCACGGGGCCATTGAACGGATGCATTGCGCTTTTTCAATTGTCCCCTTCCCTCCCTACCTCCCTCGCTCGCCTCTGCTTGGCCCTGCTGATTTTGCGCCGTGCTGCGCTGTCATCATGAGTCGAGCTGTGGTAGGCTGTGAGCAAACGACAGCAGTGTGAAGCGGATCCATGGAGGACAGTCCTCCAACACACAAAAAACTTGGTGCGACTGGAGCACAACTCAACTTGGATTTATAGACCTCAGCTAAGAGACCAGCACTGCAAGGGTACATGAGAAAGAAGTTTTTCGAAGCCAATTTCACTCACATCCAAGCAAACTCGCTCGTGCATTTAGTTAGTGTTTCAAGTCGCTAGTAACGTCGAGATTATCTGATTTCTTCGATCGCTTCATGTCATCGCTTCAGTTCCTTGCAATGCCGCTAGATCGATCGTTCGCCAGTGCCTCTCAAAAGCCAGTTCCCGGTTCGACCTTTTCCCGCGCGCAGCCCGCTATGCTCCTTCAGCAGCTATCGCGCGACCCCGCGCAGCGGGAGGAGCAGCTCGGCGTTTTGCTCCAAGACAGCCCCGCGGGCTCCACCCTCCCCGCATGGCTCCTCGCACACACAAACCCCGCGGTCGCGGCAGCCGCTGGCGCTTTACGCGCTAGACCAGCGACGGACTGCGCACATCTGCATGCGCCAACCTCCAGTGACAATCACGACGCCCAGGTGCTGTTCCGACCGACCGCCATCCGCGCTCCTCCCAACGGCGGTGCCGACGAGGCTCGCTCGGACGAGCCTGCGATGCGAGGAGATGTCCCTGCCCTGGCGAAGAAGAGGAGGTTCGCGCAAATGGCGGCGGAGGACGAGGAGGTGAATAGCAGCCATCGCAAATCGCCGCTAAGCTCACCACCTCGGCCACCCTCGAAACGACCCGCGCTCACCGAAGCCGCAGCTCCCGTTGCGTCAAGAATTCCGCCAAACGAGGAAACCTCGGGGACTCATGGCGCTTCGCCGAGCGCGCTACACCCGGACGTTACTCTAAGCCTGGCGGAGCGGCTCTCCCGTTACGACCAGCTAACGGCGTCCCTCCGCTCCTCCCTCCCGCACGGCAACCTGAGCAAGTGGGACGTGGCGGTAGGGCGGCTGCGGGAGCGCGTGGCGCAAAAGCCGGAGTTTGGAAGCAACGTGAACCAGTTCCTCGTGTTCCTCCACAGCCAGCTGCGCGGATCGCAACAGCCCTCCGCACGCGCCGCTCTGCACCAGTTCGCCGCGCTTATGCGCGCCAGGTGCCAGCAGAAGCAGCAGCGGTCGGAAGGTGGTAACCAGAGCGTGGTTGGGGAAAGCGGGAGTGTTGAAGGCGTGGGTGATTCAAGATTGGCGCAGGGAATGTCAGTGCTGGGTGCGGGCAGCAAAAGTGGCTTGAATGGTGGCGCGGAGGGGTTCGGTGCGGTAGAATGCGATAGAGGAAGTGCTGCAGAGAGGAAGATGGAACTTCAGTGGCTGCTCCGATAGAAGTGCAAGATATACCGTAGTTACCTCAATATACTAATGTTCAGAGTTGTTAGAACAAAATGAAGCTGCTGTATTTATGATGGCTTGAAGATTGTATAGATTGATGTGCCAAGTGTCACCATTTCCTCTGTTAAAGAAAGGTTGACAGCTTCTCAATATGACCAATTTTACACTAATGCCTGCTTCCTTGTGAAGTTTTAACTGCCAAAGACAAACCATTGCACGTAGAAGATGCACATACATGCATTCAACTCTATACAAGCACAGGCTGATAAATAGCCACCTCTTTCAAACTAGCCCTTGCCTCCTGGTCCATTCCTGCACCAGCTAGCACAGGTGCAGCTTCCCCAGATATCACCTGCCCACAGCCTTGACTCTCCTGTGCTGAATTGCTTTCCAGCATTGCGATGCTAACCTCCTCATGAATCCCACCTGCACCTGCCGCTCCATCTAATTCCCCTGCCTGCACCAGCTCGCCACCTTGCACCTGCACGTTGCTCCCCTCCTTCCCCTTCCCCTGTCCTGCTTCAGCCTCATCACCAACACCACTAACATCAGCATCACCATCAGAACCACGGCCACCACCATCAGCATCAGCATCACGTGGGTGTGGCGGTGCCTTGCGGACGCCAAGAACGAGGGGGGAGAGGGCGGGGTAGAGGTCCAGCAGGAGCATGTTCTGCAGCCCCACGCGCTCCCCACCCTCCGCGCCTCCTGTGCCGCCTGCCGCCCCCGCACTCGCACCCCCTGCTGCCCCCTCCTTACCTGTTCCTGCCGCTGCTGCTTCAGCTCCTGCCGAGTCCCCTGCTGCTGGTGCGCCCTCCTCCCCGCCCTCGCCAGCAGCAGCAGCAGCAGCAGCAGCAGCAGCAGCAGCAGCAGCAGCAGCAGCAGCAGGAGCAGAGAGCTGCTCATCCCAGAGCTCGTAGTTACCACTGGCAGTCTCATCACACTGCATGTGAGCGCGCACCTCCATGGCCCACTCGTTGCCCGCCTTGAACGGCAGAGGCGACGCCAGCCCCCCATGCGGGGATGACGGCAGCATACCCTCGCTCTCTTCCCCCGGCACCACCATCGCCACCCACGGCACCTCCGCCGCCGCTGCTGCCGCTGCCGCTGCCGCCGCCGCCGCCGCTGCTAACGCCAGGGCTACAGCCTCTTCGCCTGCAGTCAGCAGACTCATGCCGTCATGCATCGCCCCGTGGCTCCCCCCTCCTCCCCCCATGAGCGGCAGGCTCACCGCACCCATGCCCTTAAACCCCAGCTTGTGCCCCACGCCCCCCTTGTGCCCGGCTTTAAACACCGTCACCGCACGCGTGGCACGTGAGACCACCCCTCCATGCCCGCTGCTGCTGCTACCACTGCCCCCGTGCCCGCGCGACCTCCCGTGCTGCGGGCTGCCTGCCCGCTTGCCCACGAGGCGCCGCCAGTTGCCCTTGGAGGTCCCGTGGGAATCAGCGTCAGGGTCGGTGGAGTGGGAGGTGGAGGAGGAGGAGGGGGCAGCGGTGGTGGCAGAGCGCGAGAAGATGGACTTGCCCACGATGCGTGGGCTGATCAGCGCTGATGCCACTGATGCCTTGCCCCCACTCCCTGCTGCTCCCCCGTGTCTCCTCCCACCACCTCCACCACCACCGGCACCACCAGCAGTACCAGCAGCAGCAGCAGCAGCAGCAGCAGCAGCAGCAGCAGCAGCAGCAGCAGCAGCAGTTGTACCAGTACCACCAGCAGCACCACTGCCATGAGCCGCAGCACCGCTCCCCACCCCTGGGCCGCCACCCCACCACCCCCTCTCCTTGTTCATCCTCAGCTTCCCCAAGCTGCCCGGAACCCGCCGCTTCCCTGAGCCTTTGTCGAAGCTGCCCGACTTGCGGTGTTTCATCTGCCCGGCTGGCGCAGACATGGAATTGCGGGCGGCAATCAGAGGGGAGAAGCCAGGAATAGGGCGCTGGGGGGAGGCTGGGGGGAGGGCGGGTTGAGAGAGTTTGGAGGTATATTGTGAGGTGTGGTGTGCGGCGCCCACACTCATGCTACGGAACCCCCCCTGTGCTGCCGGGGCGGTCTGTGCCTGGTGGAGTTTCTGCAGCTGCTGCTGCTGCTGCCGCTGCAGGGGAGTGAGGTGAGGAGCATGGGAGGTGGCATGAGCAGGCGAGCGGGCAGGTGAGAGAGTGTGCGGGATGGCAGAGGGTGCGGTGAGCGATGGAGCGGCAGTGCGCCCCTGCGCCTGCCCCTGCTGTCCCTGCTGCTGCTGTTGCTGCAGGGGGGTGCGTCGGGGAGGTGTGTGCAGAGCCGACGCTGCCTGCTGGTGGGGAGGCAGGGCCTGCTGCAGGCTCGCCTGTGGAGATGCGTCTCGCGGCTTCAGCGGGGACAGCTGCCTCTCATGCTGCTGCTGCCCGCCGTGCCACTGCCCGTCTGCATGCCCGTCTCCCCCGCCTGCCTGCCCCGCACCGCCATGCAGCGCCAGGTGCGCCTCCCACGGCTCGCCATCGCCCCACGAGCTACCCGCCTCCGACCCCGGCCCATCTGACACCAGCGAGGCGGCGCTGCCAGGGGCAGCCGCGGGGGACAGTGCCAGGCCGTGCGTATGGGCGTGGGCGTGCTCGTGAGCGCCCTGCAGGCGGCAGGGGGTGGTCTGGTGGCGCATGAACAGGTGGTCTGGTGAGTGCTCCCACTCGCCCCCGCTGCTGCTGGGTGGGGACGACACTCCCCCCTCTGCCTCAGCTGTGTCACCCACACCGGAGCCCCTGCCAGCATTCCCTGCACCACCAGTACTATCAGCACCATCCGCACGGGCAGCACCGCCACCAGTGCGAGCAACAGTGGCAGGTGGTGCAGTAGACGGAGCATGAGGAGTGGCAGCAGCCGATACATCGGAAGCTGCAGCTGAAGCAGCAGCACCAGCAGCAGCACGGCGGCCAGCAGCAGCAGCAGCAGCATCTGCCGTGCTCCCTGCTGGAGCGGGAGGCGCGGAGTGCACATGGGGCCAGATGTAGGAGGGATGGCGCACATGAGAGAGCGCAGGGCGCGCAGAGGGGGGCGAGCCCGAGGGGGGCCGAGGGCGCATGGGAGAGGCGGCAGTTTGAGAGGGGTGGGGCGTGGCAGGGAGGGGGCGGTGGGATGCGGAGGCAGGGGCAGGACGGGGAGCGGCGGAGGGCGGGTGGGAGGTGGGCGAGGGGAGGGAGTCAGAGGCGGGGATGCCCGCCACAGTGCACACCATGCGCTGCCTCTGCCTTGCCGCCAGTGCTGCTGCCGAAGATGTTGTGGACGCCGATGCTGCTGCTGATGCCGGTGCCGATGCCGCTGGTGCAGATGGCGATGCTGAGGATGATGAGGGGGGTGAGGGGGAGGGGGTCCTCTCGCGATGGAGAGGGGACTGCCGCCGCTGCGCCTGCTGCTGCAGCTGTGGCTGCTGTGGCTGCTGTGGCGGCGGCCGTGGCTGCAGGAATGGCAGGTGAGGCGAGTGCACCGTTGAATCATCCCCCACCAGGCTGCCCACCTGAAAGCCCAGGCCGTCAGCAGCACGGCTCAGGTCCACACTCGCAAACCGCATGTGCCGCCTCCCACCCGCGCGGCCCCGCCCCCTGCCACCACCGCCTGGCACCGCACCCAACCGCCCTGGCCCTCTTCCTTCTGATCGCACACCCTCTGCCAGCGCTCTGGGCGCCCCCCCAGCCTCACCCTCCCGCCCGGCGCCTCCCCGCCCCTCCGCCCCTCCCACACCTGCTCCCGTGCCAGTTCCCACAGGGCCTGCGAGGGGGGCAGCCATGGCATCCTTGTCGGCAAAGAGGCGCGCCGACAGACTGATGGAGCGCTGAAACACCATGCCCGCCTCCTCGCCTTCCGCTGCTGCCGCCGCTACTGCTGCCCCTGATGCTCCTCCCCCTCCTCCACCTCTTCCTTCCCCTCCCCCTCCTCCTTCCACACCTGCTGCTTGCCCGCTCCTACCATCACCTGTCTGTCGGTCACCCCCCCGCCCCCGCCCCCTTCCCCCATCCGGCCCCTGCCCCCGCCCCCGCCCCCGTCCTCGCCCACCTCCCCCTTCTTGCCCCCGCCCCTGCCCCTGTGGCAGCAACCGCTGCTGCAGCATGCGAGGGGCGCCTGTGGGGGGTGCCGTGGCGGCAGAGGCAGGGGCGACGGGCGCAGCAGGAGGTGCAGCAGCAGCGGCAGAAGTGGGGGAGGGCAGGCGGGGCGCAGCAGCTGCTGCAGGCACAGACAGCACATCTGACACAGGTCCCCTCCCCCTCCCTCTCCCTCCTGCTCCCGCCCTCCCCCCACCGCTGCCACCTCTCCCAACTCCCATGGCCCCTCGCCCTCGGCCTCGCCCCCCTCCCAGCGCCACCGGGGCACCTGCGCTGCCCTCACTGCCTCCTGCTGCTGCTGCCGCTGCCGCTGCTGCTGCTGCTGAGAGCACTGGGCTCTGAGCGCGCTGGAAAGAGGGCATGTCAGCGGGCTGTGCTGGTGCGACTAGGGGCACAGGTGGCGGCTGTGCCTGTGCCTGTGCCTGTGCCTGTGCCTGTGCCTGTGCCTGTGCCTGTGCCTGTGCCTGTGCCTGTGCCTGTGCCTGTGCCTGTGCCTGTGCCTGTGCCTGTGCCTGTGCCTGTGCCTGTGCCTGTGCCTGTGCCTGTGCCTGTGCCTGTGCCTGTGCCTGTGCCTGTGCCTGTGCCTGTGCCTGTGCCTGTGCCTGTGCCTGTGCCTGTGCCTGTGCCTGTGCCTGTGCCTGTGCCTGTGCCTGTGCCTGTGCCTGTGCCTGTGCCTGTGCCTGTGCCTGTGCCTGTGCCTGTGCCTGTGCCTGTGCCTGTGCCTGTGCCTGTGCCTGTGCCTGTGCCTGTGCCTGTGCCTGTGCCTGTGCCTGTGCCTGTGCCTGTGCCTGTGCCTGTGCCTGTGCCTGTGCCTGTGCCTGTGCCTGTGCCTGTGCCTGTGCCTGTGCCTGTGCCTGTGCCTGTGCCTGTGCCTGTGCCTGTGCCTGTGCCTGTGCCTGTGCCTGTGCCTGTGCCTGTGCCTGTGCCTGTGCCTGTGCCTGTGCCTGTGCCTGTGCCTGTGCCTGTGCCTGTGCCTGTGCCTGTGCCTGTGCCTGTGCCTGTGCCTGTGCCTGTGCCTGTGCCTGTGCCTGTGCCTGTGCACTGTGCCTGTGCCTGTGCCTGTTTGCTGTGCCTGTGCCTGTGCCTGTGCCTGTGCCTGTGCCTGTGCCTGTGCCTGTGCCTGTGCCTGTGCCTGTGCCTGTGCCTGTGCCTGTGCCTGTGCCTGTGCCTGTGCCTGTGCCTGTGCCTGTGCCTGTGCCTGTGGCCTGTGCCTGTGCCTGTGCCTGTGCCTGTGCCTGTGCCTGTGCCTGTGCCTGTGCCTGTGCCTGTGCCTGTGCCTGTGCCTGTGCCTGTGCCTGTGCCTGTGCCTGTGCCCTGTGCCTGTGCCTGTGCTGTGCCTGTGCCTGTGCCTGTGCCTGTGCCTGTGCCTGTTGCCTGTGCCTGTGCCTGTGCCTGTGCCTGTGCCTGTGCCTGTGCCTGTGCCTGTGCCTGTGCCTGTGCCTGTGCCTGTTGCCTGTGCCTGTGCCTGTGCCTGTGCCTGTGCCTGTGCCTGTGCCTGTGCCTGTGCCCTGTGCCTGTGCCTGTGCCTGTCCCTGTGCCTGTGCCTGTGCCTGTGCCTGTGCCTGTGCCTGTGCCTGTGCCTGTGCCTGTGCCTGTGCCTGTGCCTGTGCCTGTGCCTGTGCCTGTGCCTGTGCCTGTGCCTGTGCCTGTGCCTGTGCCTGTGCCTGTGCCTGGGCCTGTGCCTGTGCCTGTGCCTGTGCCTGTGCCTGTGCCTGTGCCTGTGCCTGGTGCTGTGCCTGTGCCTGTGCCTGTGCCTGTGCCTGTGCCTGTGCCTGTGCCTGTGCCTGTGCCTGTGCTGTGCCTGTGCCTGTGCCTGTGCCAGTGCCTGTGCCTGTGCCTGTGCCTGTGCCTGTGCCTGTGCCTGTGCCTGTGCCTGTGCCTGTGCCTGTGCCTGTGCCTGTGCCTGTGCCTGTGCCTGTGCCTGTGCCTGTGCCTGTGCCTGTGCCTGTGCCTGTGCCTGTGTCTGCGTGCCCAGGAGTGCGAGCATGGACATGTGTGAGAAGTCACCTGACATGCTCCGCGCCCTCATTCCCCTCCCTCCCCTGCCCACGCCCCGCCCTGCTGCCCCTGCTCCTGCTGCACCCACGCCGCCACCCCTGGCACCCATCTGCACCGCATTGCTTGCGACCGCGGAAGGAAAGGGGTCCAGGCTGCGAGGAGCCAGGGAGGAGGATGGTTGTGGCTGCGCCTGTGGATTCAACAGAACGCTCTGCCTCATACCGCCTGCTGCTGCGCTGCTGTTGCCCATTCCTCCCCCAATTACCCCGATTCCGCCTCTACCTCCTGTCCCCATCATACCCATGCCCCGGCTGCTGATCTCTGCTGCTCCCCCCATCCCCACCCCCATCCCCATCCCCATCCCCACCCCCGTCCCCATCCCCATCCCCATCCCCAACCCCACCCCCATGCCCACCCCCATGCCCATGCCCATGCCGCCCATGCCGCCCAGCGCCATGCTGCTCACGTCTGCCAGGCTGCCGCTCCTGCCATGCCGCACCATGCGCGGGGGCCTAGCTCCTGCCTCCCTCCCGCCCGCCATGCCCTGCTGCCTCCGCGCGTCCTGCCCTCGTGCCCCCTGCTGCTGCTGCGCTTGCTGTGCCGGTGCCTGTGGCTGTCGTTGTGCCGGTGCCTGCTGCTGCTGCTGTGGCGGCAGTGGTGGTGGTGGTGGCGGCGGCGGCTGCTGTTGCTGCTGCTGCTGCACGGGTCTCAGGCGGTCCACATTCACTGCATCTGGACCGCTCATGCCTGTGCCCCGCGCTGCCCTCCCCAACACCAGCACCTCCACCCCTGACACTGCTGCTGCCGCCCTCACAAACTCGTCCTCCTCCTCGCCCTCTCCTCCCCCTGTCCGATCCCCCCAACTGCCGCCCCCACGCTCAGACTCCCCCTGCTGCTCACCCTCCGCCCCGCCCCCTTTTCCTCCCCCTGCCACCCCTCCCCCAGGGGTAGCATCGAGCACGCGCGGGGGAAGGGTGTGGCGGCGCTGCATTCTGCGCGAGGGGCGCAGGGGCGGGGAGGAGGCGCAGGCAGGGGGGAGGGCGGGAGCTGGCGGGGGGACAGGCGGCCTGAGAGGGCGAGAGGAGGCGGAGGAGGAGGAGGAGGAGGAGCGGGGGACAAGAGAGGGCTCGCGAGGGGAGGAGAGGTCACGGGACGGAGAGAGGGACGAACGTGCAGGAGGGAGGCGCTGTGACTGTAGCGGGATGGAGGCTAGGGATTGTGATAGTATCGAGATTGAGACCTGGGATTGTGCCTGTACCGGGATAGAGGTGTGCGAGCGTGACTGTGAGAGGGGTCGCTGGGTGAGGCTGTGTGTGTGGGCAGGGGAGGAACAAGGGACGGTGCCCTCCCCAGCATTGTAGCTCTGAGAGAGTTTTAAACGGGACGGGGAAACCAGCTGCTGCTGCTGCTGCTGTGATGGCGGGGGCAGCGGCGGTGGCGCGGACGCAAGAGAGAGGGCATGGGGGGGTTGGGCGAGGGAGAGGAAGGGCAGGGACGGGCCGAACGCGGACTGGGACATGGAGCGAGACCGCCGCATGTGCTGCTGTGGGGGGGCAGGGGGGGGGTGCTGGGGGGGGATGGCAGCCGTGGCAGCGGGTGGAACAGGCACGTGCGCGGGGGATGAGGAGGAGCGTGCCACTGCGGAGGGGGGCGAGGGGGAGTGGGCGTTGGGGGGCCAGCGGGGAGGTATGGGGCCTGCGCTTGTAGCGGCGGGTGCAGGGGGGAGTGGCGGAACTGACGCCTGCTGCTCCGCGTGCATCCTTGCACTGTGTGCTGCCATGCGCCCTCTGCCCCCCTCCTGCTCCTCCTGCTCCTCCTCCTGCTCTTCCTGCTCCTGCCGCTGCTGCAGCTGCAGCTCCTGCTGCTGGTGGTGATGCTGCGACTGCTGCTGCCGCAGCCCCGCCTGCTCCTGCCACATGTTCTGCTGCAGGCGCTGCTGCACCCACTGCGGCACCCCCCCTGCCCCATCCGCGGATGTGAAGGACATGGACCGCTCAAGCACCATCGCGCCACCATCCGCCACACCACCCAACGCCCCACCGCCACCAGGCGCAGCAGACTGAGAGGGGTCCCCTGGCGATCCGCTGCTCTGGCCGCCCAGCACGTCCCCAAACGCGCCCTGGCAGAGCGACTGGGAGCGCATGATGCGCCCCTGCGCGTTCCCCCCGCGCGCCCTCAGCAGCCCTGGGATGAGCGCCGCCGCGTCTCTTCTCAGCGGCGCCAGTGGGCGCTCCAGCGCCGCGCCCCCCTGCCCCGAGGGGCGCGCAGGCGCGTTACCCGGGCTGCTGGAGGCGGAGGAGGGGCGGTTGAGCGTGCGGGGGGAGCTGGAGTTGGCCTTGCGGAACAACCTTCCGCCCCCAGCCCCCCCTGCGCCCCCTGCGCCCGCCACACCGCCCTCCGCCCCTGCTTGGCCGTTCTGCTCCATGCGCCCATCCCCGCCAGCCATGGCGCCATCATCTAATGCGCCCTGCCTGTGCATCTGCCGCTCCGCGCCCACCCCCGCCTGCGCCCTCTGCTGCGCCTGCTGGCGCTGGTGTGGCGGCAGGCGCATGTGGTGCATGTGGGAGAGCGAGTGGCGGTGCGCGTGGAGGGGGAAGGAGCGGCGGCGGTCAGACGCGTGGGCGGGCGCGTGGCTGAAGGGCGGGTGCAGCGCGGAGGGGAGCGGAGGGTGCGCGGCAGTGGGGCTGCTGGCGGCGCTGGCGGCGAGGGGGTGGTGGGCGCGGGGGGTGTGCGCGGGGCTGGAGGAGACGGAGGAGCAGGGGGCGTGCGGGGGGTGGTTGAGGGGGGGGCGGCTGTTGGTGAGGGAGAGAGAGCGGAGCAAAGACAGGGACGCAGGCAGCTGCTGCTGCTGCTGCTGCTGTAGCTGCTGCTGTTGTTGCTGTTGCTGTAGCTGCTGGTGCAGCTGCCGCTGCAGTTGCTGCAGCAGTTGCTGCTGCTGTTGCTGTTGCTGTTGCTGATACTGCTGCTGCTGCTGTTGTTGCTGCTGCTGCAGTTGCTGCAGCTGTTGCTGCTGCTGTTGCTGTTGCTGTTGCTGATACTGCTGCTGCTGCTGTTGTTGCTGCTGCTGCAGTTGCTGTTGCTGCTGCTGCTGCTGCTCCTGTTGCTGCTGCTGCTGCTCCTGTTGCTGTTGTTGTTGTTGTTGTTGCTGTCTCTGTTGCCAGTACTGTTGCTGCCCCAAACCACCAAAATCCCTGCCCACCTCACCACTCATGCTGCCACTCATGCTGCCACCCATGCTGCCACCCATGCTGCCACCCATGCTGCCACCCATGCTGCCACCCATGCTGCCACCCATGCTGCCACCCATGCTGCCACCCATGCCAGCCTCATCCACGATCCCGTCTCGCGCGCGGCCCATCCATACGCTCTCCTGCCCATGCTCCTCTCTGTACCCCTCATCCCCATTGCTCTCCTCCCTCCCTTCCTCCCTCCCCTCCTCCCTCCCCTCCTCACTCTCCTCCTCACTCTCCTCCTCCCTCCCCTCACTTCCCTCCGCACTCTCCTCCGCGCCACTCTCTCCCCTATCCTCCTCCCCATCCACACTCCTCTCCATCACCGACATCCCATCCTCCCCCTCTTCCTCCTCTCCCTCCTCACCTTCCTCCTCCTCTTCTTCCTCCTCCTCCTCGTCCCCGTCGTCCCCCTCGCGCCCCTCCCACGCACTAGTATCAGCGTCGGAGGTGGTATAACCGCGCGCGTACCCATCAGAATGGTACACACTCCCCGCGCCCCCCTCCCCCGCGCCCCTCTCGTCCCACGCCATCTGCACCCCGAACCCACCTGAACCACTCTCAAACGTCCCCCCATCCAGCTCCGCTTCCGCCTGGCCACCCAGAAATCGCTCCGCCCCGCGCCACTCACTCCCGCGTCGCCCGTCGTCGCAGCCCCCGTCGCCACGCGCCAAGCCCCGTGCGAAGCTAAGCTCTCTCGCGCCGCCCACCAACCCATCCTCCAGCCGCTCCTCCCCGTGCGCCCCCCGCCAATCCCGCGCCCCTCCCCCCTCCACTCCGCCCCGCACATCCTCCCCCCCGCTCACCCCATCCCAGACCCCCCTCCCTTCCGCGGCGTGCGCGCGGGCGTCCTGCGTGCCCCAGGCGGCGGTTCTGTCGGGGCTGTCCCAACCCACTTCGCCTCCCGGTGCCCGCCGCTGCACGGCTCCTCCTTCCAGCGAGCTGTCTATCGAGTGATCCACTAACGAGTGCTCGTGAAACGAGTATTCCTCATAGGGATGGTGGCGTTGTTCAAACGGGCGGTGCCTATGCTCATGCTCATCGTCATCCTCATCCTCATGCTCATGCTCATGCTCGTCCCCGATATAAGCAGGCCCCGGTTCGCTCCTGGATTGCAGTAACCGAGGCGGGCTTTCGCTATAAGAACACTCAGGGGGGGAGCTACAGCTGACGTCATGGAAGGCGAAGCTGTCAGCGCGTGCAGCGTCCGACAAATCAGGTTGCATCAGCCGTTCAAACTGACGGTCAAGCAAGTCGCGCGAGTCAACGCCGTGAGGCGCACAAGCATCAGCATCAGCAGCTGGCCCTGCTTGCGCCGTGCCACTCCCCCTGCCCCTCCACCCGTCCAGTCCTGCGCCCCTCTCCATCCCGCGTCTCTCCGCTCCCGCGTACGCCTCTCTTTCGCCCTCCGCCGCCCCCTCTATCCGCAGCACCTGCGCTCCCCCGCCCCACTCCACCACGCTTCCGCTGTCCCCACCCCCGCTCCCAGCGCCACTGCTCACGCTGCTACCGCGGCTGCTGCGCCGCCTGCGACTCGACGCCACTCCGCCTGCGCCCACCCGCACTTCCCCTTCCCACTGCTGCTGCTGCGGCTGCTGGAGGTCGTAGGTGGGCGCAGCGGCAGCAGCGGGGGGGGAGGGCGCGTCGGGCCAGCGCGTGGCCTTGAAGAGCTGCCAGCACGCGTTCGCCTCCGCCACCACGCGCATCACCGTGTCGGGGGACGCCGGCCGCCCGCCCTGCGCAAACACCGCCTGCGCCTTGGGGGCTGCGCGGGATGGAGACGGGGTTGGTTGAAGATAGAGGGGGGGGATGGGGTGAAAAGAGATTAAGAATACGAGGGTAACGGGCGTGTGGATCGATCATGCCATGTTAGTGCATGAGCTGACACGATGGCACTACGCACACGGCGACAGCACCAATCGCACCCGCGATTATCCCGAACCTGGCTGACACACATGGAGCATGCAGAGGCGGTGGATCTGACAAGCGCATGACACGGCTACAGCACTGCACACATGACACACGGACCACGGAGCACGGAGCACAGGGCACGAACGACGGACCAACTATCGCACGACACGAGGAGACATCACCGCTCGCGAGTGGGTACCTCGTCCCGGCCTCGTGCGGTAGCGCGCGAGCCATGTGCGCAAGCGATCCGTGACCCCCGGGAACAGCGACTCCACGTCGTCCAGACCCGTCGCGCGCCCGAACAGCGGGTCGTCCCACGCCACCACCAGAACCTTCCACGAAAGCGCCCTGGTGAGCGGGTCGACGAGCCCAAACGCGCCGATGGGCCGCACCTCGTACACGTCGCCCACCTGTCGCACGCCGAACCCTAATTCGATCGCATCGAGCGGCTGGTTGTCGTTCGACAAGCCGGCAACTTCCGATGGAAATTCCTCGTTCGCTAACGTCTGCGGCAGCAAGCCGAAGTGCCATGGAGATGGCTCTGACAGGCGCGATAGGTTTCTGTTAACGAGGCGGGACTTTAACGGGCTGAGACGCTCGGTCAACGAAATGGCCATGTCGTAGGTTGAGCCACGTGGACAGAGGCAGACGAAGTGGAAACTGGCGGAAGAGGAGAATAGGGGCACGTCGTGCAGCGGAGACACCTCCGCACCCCACGCGTTCTTGAGAATGCATGTGTACAGCAGGTCCCCGGGATTGCCGATAGGCACCGGCATGAACTGACGGGACCGGAATCGAGGCTGCGCGTCCCTCTCCATTCTGTCCGTACGCTACGTCAGAATATGTGCTTACGGTTGGCTGGTGACGGGTCAGCCACCCAGTCTTTCAAATCATTCACGCATTGCTTCAGATCGAGGAAGCAAAGCTCGCTTATTTTCGTGAATATGTAGCACATAACTTATTGTTTAGTGAAGAGATCCCTGAGGGCCAATGGCTAGTAGGTCCTCGGCCAGAATACCAAAGTTGTTGACGGTGGCCGCGCAGAAACCCTAATTTACTACATGACGAAATGGATGGGGGAATGCGGAAGTGGTGTGCCGGAGAGGTTGCACGGGACGTGACTGGCGGGAAAACGGAACAGACCCGCCACCCGACAGTTGACGGTGGCACTCTGCAGTAACGGGCAGCACACGAATTGTCCACCACAGTGCGTGGCAGACCCCCAGCCAACCAGGCCCAGCGTGGGGCAGCAGAAACGAGACTGCAGTGAGCATTCAACATAAAAGTGATTGCATGTCTTCAAACGAAAAACGTGACAAACCGTCCGTACAGGCACACGGGCATTCCACATCATAGCGTTTACCATTTTTACATCAGAAGTGTATATTATTCAGATTCAATCCACCACAAGTACTCTGTCCCTCGTTCCCACCTGCGCGCATGGCGGGAGGACCTGCCCGCGCCAGCATCACCTCACCTGCGCACTCTCTTTGTCTTCCGCAAATCTCGAGGGAAATTGGTGCTGATTCTGCCCCATCTCATCTCCATTCGCAAACTCGCGAGTTCGCGTAACCGAAGAAATTTGACTTCGCATCCGGAATATGCGAACCCTAGTAGGCTCAAATGTTACCATATAGCCTCGCAAGGGTGTCAATCTGCATACCTCCTCGAACAAACCTCCACTTCTCTCCGCTCAACCACAACCACCACATTTTTTTCCAGGCGCACCTCTGAAAGTTTAGACTAGGAGGTTCGGACAATTACCCATAGGCCGTCGTTATTCCGCCAACTTCGCTCGCTTACAGCAACCGACATGTTTAATTTCGGAAAGCCCTCGTATGCGCAACTAGGCGTGGAGGCGGCGCGCAAGCCGCAAGGGGATTCATGGGCGCGCGCGGAGGGCGATGTGGACAGCAATGGCGGCGCGAGCCAGGGCAAGGCGCCGGAGTCGTTCGCGGGGACGAGCTCCAACATGAGCGCTGAGAGCGGCCGCGTTCAGGTGCGCTTACCCGTTCGCCTTTGCTACTCGTTTATTGAAATGCGGTCAAATCCTGTGATTTTCCCGTTGGTCCACATGGCTCCGCGTCCCCCGCCCGTTCTCACCGGCAGGTACCCATCGGCACGGTGTCTGAATCGCATAAGATGCCCGTCGCGCAGGCGCTCGCGCTGCTCGCGTTCACGGCCGTCAATGTCGCCGCGCTCGTCGCCATCTTCTGGCTCGCGCTCTCGCTCGAGGGCACGGAGCGCATCCTCGTTATAGCGCTTCTTGGCGGCGGATGGCTGGCGCTGCTGCTCTTCAACGTGCGCATGGCAGGGCGGCCGCGGCGCGTGATCCAACGGTTCCTGCACGCGAAGAGCAAGACGCGGCTGGGGCGGCGGCTGGGGCGCGGGCAGACGGTGGTGGTGCGCGGCGCCGTGTCGCTGCTGCACGAGGAGCTGCTCTCCACCGAGTTCCACAACGTCCCCGTGAGTACCGTTCTGTACGCGATATAAGGCGGCGGAATCCAATTCCTGCGTGCCCTTAGCTTCAGACCGTCTAGCCGGTCAATCCTTGTCCTTGCTTCGTCGCCCTGCTTCCACCCGCCCCTCCTCCTCCCCTCCTCCGTCTCTATTTCGCGCTCGCCATTCAACCGGCACACGCGCACACTTAACCCCACCCACGCGCGCACTTGCGGCTGTAGGGGCTGTTGCTGGTGGAGAGCAGTCTGCGGTCGTTCTACCCGGGGCTGTGCAAGGCGGACGCATCCAGAATTCAACTCCGGGGTGTTCATAAGATCGTCTAGCCAGTCCTGCCTTACTCTCGCCTTTTCAGCCGGCTTCCCCCTCGCCCGTTCCCCTCCCCTACCCCTCTATATATTCCGCCCGATATTCTAACCGACGCACGCCCACACTCATCTCCAACCCGCGCGCGCACTTTGACCGCAGGGGCTGGTGCTGGTGGAGAGCAGCCTGCGGTCGTACTACCCGGGGCTGCGCAAGGCGGACGCGTGGACGGAGCACGTGCGGCAGACGCGCGCCGTGGACTTCCGGATCACGGACGGGCAGACGGGCATGAGCGCCATTGTCAAGGCCTTCCACGCCGCCGAGACCGGCGTGGCGACGCCCCTCGTGCACATCTCCACCGAGGTACCGCTCTCAACCGAGGACTCTCCCCCGTCTGCTGGGGGCGCGGCGGGCGGGGAGGGGGGCGCGAGCGCGGAGGAGGAGAGGAAGAAGCGGCGCAAGGCGCTGTCTCCGCAGCTGATGGTGTGCAAGGGGTACATCCGTGCAGGGCAGACGATCACGGTGATGGGCGTGCTGACTGAGGAGCCCGGCACGCATGAGCTGCTCATCCAGCCCATGCCGCAGCCCCGCAACATTGCCAAGCTGCTGCTCTTCCGCGGCTTCATCCCCTTCTTCTTCCCCACCTGGGCCTCGGGACTCGTTATCTCGGACCAACGTGACGTGGCGTGATGCGGGAGGGCCAAGTGTGGCACGCCATTATCGTCTGGTGGTGATGTGGCAAAAGGGTCGTGCGCTGGAGGGACGAACACTTGGGATGGAGTGGTGTTGGTGACAGGTGTTGTGTGTTGTGGGATCATGCTTGTGGATGGAGGCTCGCTGGTCATGATCACACAGCAGTACTGCAAATCATTGTATCGTACAATACCCTTTGAGTGGGAGTAGCTTTCATTTGTTAGTGTGATGGCCTAAACACCTTCATATTGCATCCTGTTCCAGAAAATCAATATTGGCCACCTCAGTGCTACTCCACACAAATTGGATGGGATGCGGATCTTGTTACATCTGAATATTACAAAAATGAATGACAAAACACTTGGCCATAATACAGCTGGACGTCCTAAGCCGTCAAGAGGGTCATATGTAGAGGCAAGGCGAAATCGTGGGCACCTTCTACGTTACTCTCCCCCCACCCCAGCACAGGAAATGGTTAAATCAATGTTTGCTTGTGGGGAGGGATGGGGAGGGTTAGATTGCGGGTGCTTGGGCGGATGGCGAAATCCTTGGATGAAATCCCTGCTGGATGTTCTTCTACCGAGGGGAGGGGATGGGAGCGGCGAGCTAACAACTGAGCGCATCGTTCCTCATCACACTCGTCAGACCCTTTGCAACCCTTGCTACATCACGACGACAAGTCGTCCCGCACTACGAGCGCTGCAGCTGCGCGCATCCCTGCAGCAGCGTCTGAATCGCCTCCACCAGCTGCTGCCGCTGCTGCTGCCAAAACTCCTCCGTCTGCCCGCCCTGCGCCTCCTCCTCCGCCCCGCTCCCCACCATCTGCTCCTGGCTCCGTTCCTCCGCAACCGCCTCCTGCGCTGACTGCCACGTGTCTTGCGCTGTCGCCAGCGACGCGAAGCTGTCCACCCGACGCCGTTTCGAACCGATACTAGCAGTATCAGCCGCATGGGGGGCGGCGAGCGGCCCGCTGGCGCAGACTTGCGACGCAGCCCATGGATCGGCGGCGCGGAGAGAGGAGGTGCAAGCCGTGTCGTCGTCATGATCGGCGGGCAAATCGCAGCTGCCGACGCTGCTGCAGGGAGACAAGGGCTCTTCCGTCGACGCGGGTTCCTCCGCTGCGCTTGCTTTCCACACGCCCGCCGCGCCATGTCCCACGCCGTTGAGCAGAAGCACGAGGCCCAGCGCTGCTAAACGGCGGCTCACAGGCGCGGAGCTCAGCAAGCCCTGCAGCAGCACCTCCGTCTCCGCGTCGCCCCGCTCCCCGCGCGCTAATGCGCTGCATCTCCGCACCGGGGGGCTGGGGGCAGTACCTTCCGTGGGGAAATGAGCGCTCGTTGGCGATGCGACGTGGACCGGCGTAGTTGGTTGGGGGAAGGATGGTTGTGCGGAGGGCGGGGACTGTGGGGAGAAGAACGCGGGCATGGAGGTGGGGGAGGGGGAGCGAAGTCTGGAGGAGGGCTCGAGGATGGGAAGCGCGGAGGGCTCGTGCGCGGAAGAGACGGGGCGCCACAAGTCCTGGGAAGCTGCTGCGGGGCTGCATGTGGGGCCGACGGGATGCGACGTCTTGCGACGAGTGGGTGGTCGCTGATCGTCCGCTTGCCATGCAGCGTCGGGCGAGCGGGTCGTCCGCGCATTCCAGTCCGCCGGCACCTGCTCGGCCCTGGCTGCGTGCTTTAACGACTCTATCCAGTCCCAGCTAAACGCCGCCATGGATTCTAAGTCGATAGACTAAGGGTGTTGGTTGAGATCGAAAAAATGTACTCTGGGAAAGTTGCTATACTCGTGTAACTGAAACTAGTTCGACCTGATCGATAGTCATGCAGAACAGAAGCACGTCGATCGAATCTCCACTTAGAGAAACTAGACGGCGGCGAATTAGTCAATGGCATGACACGAGACAGTGGGATGGTTTGGTCGTGGTGATGGCAATGGCTTTCTCATCAAGAACAGTACAATCGGTGTGATGGGGTGGGGTGGATGGAGCAACGAGGAAGCCCCCCTGTGTGACGTGGGCCAAGGAGTCGTTGCGGGCATGAAGCAGGACAAAGCGAGCGTAGCCCCCCGACCTTCTCTTCCTCGCCATTGGTTCGCTTTGCTGTGCGGGCGACTCGGGTCGCGGTGCGACTTTTGCGAGGTGTGTCTGCTTGTTGTGATACAGTAATGTACAGAAGACGAGAAAAAACGGCAACAGAAGCAATTCTGCATTTGATTGATGGTGGGCTGCTCACTTACCTCGCGAAAGTTGCCTTGCGAGCGACCTGCGCTGCGACATTGAAGCATTCTCGCAAAAGGGAACCCAACCAATGCGGTGCGGGCACAAGTTTGCTGGTCGAAAAGCTCGATTGGGTTCGATGAATCGACACGAAATCACAGCCCCTGAAAGCAACCGAACCCATTGGCGGCGTGTTGACTAGGTGGCGGGCAGATGCGAAATATGGCCTGAAATTGTTACCTAGTAGATTGTCAATGTGATCCATAGCTTACCTGACGTGTAGCAGAAGTTGTCGACGGGATTATCGTTATCATCCTTTAAGAGAAGTGATTAGCGACACCCGGGGGGCAGACAAACCTCGCTGAGAAACTTATTTTCTTCTGGAGCAGGCAACACCGACGTGTGCTTCTCCGATAGCATTTGTCGTCACCTGCAACCTGGAGATTCCACCTGAAAAGCACCGCATCGTCCAAAGCGCAGGTGCTACCAAACGCCTGTTTCTCTCTTGTCCCAGACGTGGGGGGCAAAATGCCGAGTCCATTCATAGACTTCGGTGTGGGCAATACCCGAATAAGTCCAAGCATCGGGAATTTCTGGTTGGCTCCTTGTGGGAGCTCAGGTGTCTGCAACTAACAGACGTCGCAGTGGTCATGGTCCCACGACAACGAACAACCAGGATGGTGATTGTGCCGTAGTTCATTATACGCCCACGCGTTAGGAATGTATTACTTGCGTTCTGTTTAGCCTATTACCTTCATATTGGGAGGCGGCCATCGAGGCTTTCTCAACACATGCTTACGGTACCATGCATGTGAGGAGTGTTACGAATAGTAATACTTGAATATTACTGTGCACTCCTCACCGCATCAAAGAGAAGCACGCAGTATCGCGAATGAACGCGAAGCGTCAGACGGTTGGAATCGACTCGAAGCGTCAGACAGTTGGGACGCATCTGGACCGTCGGAGCAGACAGCATCAGGCAGCTGCAGGCAGGATGGTTTCGGCTGGAACAGTTTCGTAACTGTTCGCGCCGCACGGTTGGGAATGTATTTGAATAAGGGAATGTACCCCTTAGAGTACATGGCTAGCTAGGTCGTTTCATCTCCCCTGTACTCATATTTATATTTGCTGTATTTGCATGTTTTAAATTATCTCAAAGCATTTTACATTCACTCTGCTATTGAGGTCAAGGGCCCACCAACATCACTTCTCTGCGTGCGAACCTTCCTGAGTAGATCCTAGGCCACGATCAACTTGTGATCACAGCAAGGGGAATACCACATGTTCGCTGCTTTTGGCAGGTTAAAACCCGAAGCCTGAATTACAAACTTTCTGGGAGGTGTTAACACTTCTGGAGCCGAGTGTGACCTTCTAAGGCATCTGGCTCTTAGCACGATTAAGTTAAGTCATGCCTTACCTAATGCCTGCTTAATGATGCTAAGTGCTCTGACTAAAATATCAAGTGCCGAGTATTGAGCTGGTGAAGCCCTGGAATTACTAGAAGAGGTAAAATTTACTCGTATGACTTACATCCTCGAGCTACCATGCTGGTACGCTGGACAGATAGAGCCTTCGACGTGCACAAGTAGGACGTATGGGCTACTGCTACCCAGGCAAAACAACGCGAATATGTGTACCTATAGTGTGTCGGCAGCTGATTTGGAGACAACCTACTGATGCCAGTGGATGCAAGCTGCACACCGCACCGTGCGTTACAACTAATCGACATCACAGTTGTACACATTACGGCAGACATTTGCCCCACACTCATGCTGCCAACACCCCTTCATGTCACACCCACCCAGCTGCAATGCATCAGTGCCCCGCTCTGTCAGAATCACAGCCACTAACCACTGGGATGAAAGGGCTTGTTTGTGTAGCGGGTGAGTGCGCCCATAAGGGCGTGTGCACCTAGGGCGAAATTTGTCAGAGTTCAAACATTAACCGCTTTTCACCGTGGAGAAACGTCTCTTACTGGTATCGTACCGAGTAGAACCTTGCTAAAAGTTCGAACCTGGACAGAAGTTCGAACGCCTAGTGCACACGCCCTAACCCCCCAGGCCAACGTGCCTGTAACCCTTCCCTATGATCAATTGGGGATCACCAGTGGACCTCTGACACCCCCCCGCACTGGAATGCCCGAAGTGCACACACCGGGATTCGAACCCGAGACCTTCGCTCTTGTTGGAAACAATCGGTCCTAAGCGCCTCTGTCGTGTCGAAACACTAAGACACAAAAGAAACGAAGTATAACGAATCACCGGCGAGTCAACCCTCGGAGGTTGAAAGTAACTGTTGGAGGTTACGCGAAAGTCAAAGGTCAGCGACCTTTGACCTGACAAAGTACAGCGCGACAGCAAGGACAAACAACTGACTCGGTATTGAGCAGTTGCCCGAGTCGTCACTGTATCGAACCGCAACAGCAATAGTAAAACGGTTATTAACTGTATCTCTTCGTATTCCTTGTACTCTTATAAAAGCTTGTATCTCTTTGTTTTAATCAACTTACTTTGCCCTCACATACTAGCGCAAGGTGGTTCACAACTCTTTAATTAACGCTTCCGCTACTACACCAACTCTACCCAGAGTTCACCCCTGCAAAGATCCTAAGGGTTTTTTAGCCCAACATGGTATGAGAGCAATCAGGGGGAATTCAACTTCTATACCGACAACATCAACAAGCATGGCTACACAAAAGGAAAGGAGCAACTCCAACGGCTCCCAGGGCACTACTCCTACTCCACCTCCTGCCTCTGGCCTACAGACAGAGGAGGGCACAGCA